TAAAGTCCATAAAAATTGTTTTTTTAATTAACGGAGAAAAAAAATTTTATCTTTTTTAATTTTTTTTTAAATCCTCAAAAAAATTTTCAAAAAAATTTTTTTTGGTCCTGAAACCATAGTAAAATATGGAAACAAGTCTTTCCTGCAATTCCTTAAAATAATCTTAGCTCTTGCTCAATTACAAAGCAGAAAAAAAAGGTTTTTTTTATTTTGAACAATAAGTAAAAACCATCTTTGGAGAAAGCTCCTTGTCAATAAATTGGCAGCCGTTTTTTTGCATTTATTTATCAAAGGAAATTTATCGTTTTGCCATTGTACTTCCTTCCACCCACGTAACAGTATATATGGCATATAAGCACATACGTAAGCTCTCGCTCGGAATACAGGCGAGCTTGCAAGCTCCTACTGACTTTGTTAGCAAAGCATTATAGATATTAATAAGCGCGCGTCTGATAAATAAAACACTTGATTCATGCAAGACTGAGTTTGCATTTTACATCGGCAGCAGTACATGCGTGTTGCGTATATATATACGCGGGATAAGAGGAAGAGAGAGAGAGAGAGAGAAAGAGGACGTCGGAAAGAGGTCGCGAAAGCTTTTTGATGCACAGCAAAGAGAAAGGGAAGCCAAAAGGGAAATATGGATATAATTAATGTATTGCTCTAATTTTCGAATGTGTATATACGTGTATGTGTATGCGTGTGTGCGCTTTGATGTTGAGTAGTTATAAATATAGATAGACTCAAAGTTTAGGAAGCTTTTGTCTACCCGAAGAGAGAGGAGAGCAAGAGAGAAAGAGAGAGAGAGAGAGAGAGAGAGAGAGAGAGAGAGAGAGAGAGAGAGAGAGAGATAGCAGGAGCAGCTGCAATAGTAACCGAGCTTCCGTACATGTTCCGAGCATATATAGGACTAACAACCGCGACTGCACAAGCAAAAACTCTATATGTACACTGCGAAAGCTCTGTCCGAGCGTATAACAATTGTGCCTACGTGTACAGCTCTCGAGTACGCAGTGCAATGATAATAATATTGCCGTTGAATTTCTAATGGTCGAAAACACACACACACAGACACACTCGTATAAGGGACGTGGCATTGCCCGTCTAAAATGTTGACTGTCAACCACGCGCAGCTACTGCTGCTACTGCCGCTGCTGCTGCTGTGTGCGCGTAAAAGTCGAAAAGCCGGATTTATCGTGTCTTTGTGGGGCAGCTCGAGTTCCCTCACAAACACGCATACTCTCAGACACACACACGCATACACATACATTCGTACTATGTGCAAAGCGTCTGTACATTAGGCGCGCGTAATAGTCTGCGCGGGCAAAAGTGAGAGATACAAGAGCAGAGAGGGAGGGAGAGGGAGAAAAGTAAATGGCTCGTTTTATCCGTGCGGAGCAAATTTTTTTCGCGTATTCGTGACTTTTAATAGCTTACAAACTCAGCAGTAGCAGCAGCGGCAGCAACAACAGTTATGCGTCGGCATGACAGCGAGCGCGAGCGAGTAAGGGAGAGAGAGATGGAAAGAGAAAAAATATTAATGGCCCGCAGATGAAAACTCGACGACGACTGTAGCGAGTCTTTGCCGTCTTCCAAGCCATAAGTAACTCTCTTGGCTCTCGGGCTGCCTGGCTGCCGCTGCTGTAGCTTCTACGGTAAATGCACTACACTAAATGATGTTATACACGCTCGTGAGTTGTGAATCTCCGCGACTTCTTAATCTATTCTCATTTTTTCGAGTAAATTACGGAGCACCCGACGACGTATATAATATATAGTATGTAACACGCAATTCTAATCGATCCTATTAAGGGAGAACTAGATACTCAGCCACTGTATCGCGCATGTGTGTACAAGTTTGGATTTTGACTCGTGCAAACTCGTGCTGTAATGGTTAGAATAGGTATGCGAGTGTGTATCATTTACTTTATTAAGTTCCTCCCACGCGCTAGGATGCACTTTTGCTATGTGTGTGTATGTGTGTGTGTGTGTACGACGAGATGCGGATAAATTTACCACATCGTCTCGTCAAAGCTTGTGCCCGCCTACATACGTACATGCACGCGCACACGTATACAATACTCGTATTGGTGCATTTACACACCCACTCGCGCACACATGCCCAGACATGTACACGAGCACTCAGTGTGTGCAACAGAGAGACGGAATTTCATCAAACTTCGGAGAGTAGAGATAAGGAAACTTGTCACTCGCTGCTGCTGCTGCAACGGCGGCGGTGGAGGCAGCACATGAATATCATTTATGCGCGCGTATTGCCGCGGCGAATCGTTACACGCGCGAGGCGTTAAATGCAAACGTAAGCGCCTGCCTGTATAAATCTTTCATGACGCGATGTGCCTCGATCGCATAGCGTATGATATATACTTTGAACACGCACCAAAGCAGCGCAAGCTCGCGAGCGCGCCTCGTTCTTCATCGTCTTTTTCTTTGCTCTCTTTTGAAATGTTCCTTCATTCTTTCTTTCCTTCCTTCCATTTTTTTTCTCATTCCCCGACAGCAGCGGCGGCAGCCCGCAGTCGCGTGCGTAGCGGTGACGGCGGCAACGCTGCCGGGGCCCCGGTGCAGGGGCGCGAATAAGAGCTCGGCGCGCTTATTAAATTGGATTAAATTGTTCTCGGCACGGCTATAATACACCTTTCGTCGTGCTTGCGCGAAGCTCGTCGTATTAAGTGTGTGCGTACATGATATATACTCCATCCCCGTGTGTCTCGCTTCTCACTCGCTTCTCTCTCTCTCTCTCTCTCTCTCTCTCTCTCTCTCTCTCTCTCTCTCTCTTTCTCCTCGTGCGCGTCTGTGCACTTCACATTTTATAACGCGCATCAAGCGCCCCCACACACTAACGCGTAAAAATCTCGGGCGAATCTTTTCTTCCTTTTTCAGTCCTCCCCCTCGTCGTAGTCGCTTCTCTTTATATAATAATGTATACTCTTATGTAGCAGCCTCGCGCGAGAAACGATTATCATCATTACGTCGAGGCATTCGCGTCTGTAATAATTAATACGGCCCAAATGCGTATGGACCAACGCACCCGTGCACTCAAAAATACACGGAATAATGTGCAGTAGGCTAGTATATAAACATTTGCGCATCAGGTCAATGGGGGATAGCGTCAAAGTTCAAATTTAATATGATTTTAGAGGCAATGCAAAATAGTTGTTCATTGGACTGACGTGAGCGCGCCGCGCACAGCTAGGCGTATGAAGCGTATACACTAAGAGTATTAGAGGGAAAATCGTGATAATGATGACTGGTTTGCGCGCATCGCTCGCTCTGCCGCCGCCGCTCCTGTGTGTTGCCTCTCTCCGCGTCGAGCTTGACGGCCAACTAAAGCCTGAAACGCCACAGCTCGTGGTGTATTTCTATGCTAGGGGAATTATTATGTGTGCCTTATAATGTACAAAATAATGATAATAACATCGTAGATATACCGATGATAATTATAATAATAATACTAATATATATTGTTATAAAGGGCTGGTGCGTGTGCAGTGCTAGCCTTACTTATATACTTGGTTTACAAGATAGCAAATGAGCGCGAGATCTAGCCGAGGAGAGGAGCTCGGGAGAAAAGGAGAGTAATGAATGATACAGGGTTATATATAGGTATATAATATCAGCTGGAGGATTGTTCCATATTACCTCTTATATATATCGACCGCTATAAATTACTCTCCTGCGCAGTAGCGAGCGAGTGCGCGCGTGCTTTTGTATAAAATGTGAAACAAAAAAAAATATAGAGAAAGAGAGAGAGGAGCTTACTCGAGAGAGCGATTGTTTATTATTATTATTATTTTTATATTCCATGAAAAGGTAAACTAGCAGGACGACGACGACAACGAGGACGAGGACGAGTAGACGACGATGATGATGAAGCCACGATGAATATGAATTTTCCCGTTGCATGCGCAAGAGCAGTCCATGATTAATTTATCGTTACAATGGCTGCTTTAGCTTTTTAACTCGCTTCTATTATTATATATAATGCTATATATATGCGTTATATATGTGTATGTAAAGTGTGCGTGGCATTTGTCTGAAGTGAAAATTCTCTCTCTCGTTGCTCTTCCTCCGACTCTTTTATATACAGTTGAGAGTAGCCCAGTGACAGGGCAGTAGCAGCAGCAGCAGTAGTAGTAGTGGTAGTGGCAACAGTATCCAGCCGCGCTGAAAAAAGCTCGCACTTACGCTAGCGGTCACTAATCCTCATTCATATATATGCGGCTTTTCCAGCTCTTATAAATACACTCTCACACGCGTATATGGTCGTCGGTCTTTCACGCGGCGCACACGTAAAACCACTTCGTAAATTATATGTGCATCATCATCGCGAGCTCTGGTTCTGTGTGTGTGTGTGTGTGTGTGTGTGTGTGTGTTTGTGTGGATGTGTTGGTAGGTGTGTGCGCGCGACGCGAAGTGTATTATAGGCGAGAAGCGAGGCGCGCGCGAAAAAAAATGAGAGACAGTAATGGTAGTAGCGGCATTTATCACTGCGACGTGTTAATTTTCATCGTATTATTACGTCACGTACTACGCCGCGGCGCAGAGAATTCGCTCGCTCTCGGGCGCGCGACGAGCGCGAAAAAACGGGGCCGATTTTCGCGATACCTATCTAAAAATGAGAATTTTTAATCTATAAATCGTTTAAAGGACAACAAAAATGTCGACAACGACGACGACTACGAAAAAAAGTCACAGAGGGTAAAAAAAGTACCGAGCGCAAAGCTTGGTTTGGTCTTATTTATTTTATTTTTTTTCTCATCAACTTACACGACAAAATCCATCTCGTTGATTAAAGCTTCGATGCTGCAGCAGCAGCAGCAGCCGCCAGCAGTCGTGTCATAAAAATAAAAGTCTCTCCGCTATAAGCGAGTGAATCGCATTCTCGGCACGGCAGATATTCATGTTAACTGACAAGTCGAGGATAAAAAATATAAGCGCCTGTAAATAATTCGATTCGCTCCGGTGTTATATATTTGCAGGTGGCATGGTGGTTTACTCGACGTCGCTGGAAACTCGACGCGGACTGATCGAACGCTGGAGCAACCTGACGATCTACAACGCGAGCGACATCGACGCGGGCGAGTACACGTGTCACGCGCGCAACGTCGCCGGGGTGGCGCGCAACACCGTCACCGTCAGCATACCCCGGGTGTTCTCGGCGCCGACCCTGTCCCAGGCCGACGACTGGCTGCTCTGGATCAGTCTCGCCGGGGGCGGCACAGTGGCCCTTGGGGTCTCGGCGACCGTCGTCGTCACGGTACTGTGCGTCTGCAGCACCACGCAGCTGAGGCGGCGCAACCGCAAGCGGGCCAAAGTCAAGCTGCAGCCGAGCACGAGTTTCGGCGACCAGGAGAAGAAGTTGCTTGATTTGTCGGTCACCACGACCACCACCACGACGAGCAGCCAGCCAACTTCCCAGGTCAGTTTCGACGTGTTCGTTCGTACGTTCGTTCGGCTTTTATTTTCTTCCTCCCCCTTTTTATTCCTTGTTTAGTGTGGCTCGAGCCACCTCGTTTCGCTTTGACGCTGACCTAACGAGCTTTTCAGGAAAGCTAGACACGCTTGGCAATTGAATTACGAGCAATCAATTAACTAACTGTTGCAAATTTGCAATCGATATTCCCTGGTTTACCCAGTTGATCTTTTCAAAACTTTGAACGAGCAAATTGTAATGTTGCTCGATATTTGGAATATTTATTAAATTGAAAAACTCGATCATACTTTGAAAAAAAAGCACTCGATCGCGCATAGTCCAATTATTCAGAGATTTTCAGTTTAATATAAACTCATATATAACAAAAAAAATAGAAAAAAAAACTGTAAAAAAAATTTTTGAAGTTGAAACATTTTTTCATTTTTGTCCAATCGCGCGGGGATCACTCGATAAATGTCACTTAGCAAGCGTGTGCACGCGCTTATCCGATAGTAGGTACAACTCGTTGGAATTGTCAAAAAAAAAAGTGAAAAAAAAAGTAAAAGAGAAAAAGCCTCTCTGAACGAAGCTTAGCGCTAAATAGACGAACTATGCGCGGTATGTGGCAATAAAACACGCGATGAGGTCGGCAAATCAAGTTAACGAAAAAGTCGTTAACACCAAGTTGAAGCAACTTTTTTTACCCCCTTCATCCACGTTCGAGCCTCCAATCTCGTCCTGCACGCGCGTGCTCATGAGATCGAATAAAACATGTATTACTGGTCAAAGATGGACGCGTAGAGGGGCTAATTCCGATTAAAAGTTTAAAACAATTTTCGATCGAGCTCTTTTTCTTTCTGCGGAGAGCTGGCAAAAGTACGAAGCCGGGGGCTGCTGCTAGCCACAAGCCACGCGCGCACAACGATAAATGCTCGAGAGAACGACTGGTATTTTCATGGAAATATTAAAGTAGTTATATAAGGGCTGCGAAAGTGCGCGATTAAATTTAGTTAGACGGGCCTAATTTATCGCGCTCGTTTAAAAGCCTGTTTTCGCAAGATGTAATGGTTTTTCTGATACGCTCGGAAGCTCGTTGCAGCACCCCTTCGAATCTCCGCGCGCGATAATTGTCTCTCTCGCGCGCTAACGCGGCCACGTTTTATACATTAAAATATACGCAAAAATTGACTCTCACTGTGGCCCGCAGCAAAATATGTTGGAGGCAGCCTCGCCGGAATCGCCGTTGACACATCAAGAGGATTGCATCAACCATTATCACCAGCAGCAGCTACTGCAGCATCATCAGGCCGAGTACGACCTCGTCACGGACGGCAGCCCGATGGCCGAGCACATGCCCGACTGCCCGATGGGGGCGGCCGAGTCGAACAGCGTCAGATACGAGTATCTGGGTCGGCATCGATTCATCGACGAGTCCTGCTGGCCGAGCGTGGGTACGCTGGCTCGGCGCTGCTCGTCGTCGAGCAACGCCCAGGGAGCCGCCACCGGCGCCTCGAGAGTGATCCTGGCCAGTACCGGAGTGGTGGCGAGCTCGATGGTGCTCGAGTCGCCGCGCAACAACGGCTCGGACAGCGGCAAGCCGCCGTCGTTGTCGTCCTCCTCGCAGGAGCGCTGTCCTCTGGCCGTGGCGACGGGAAGTTTTTCACCGTCCAACGTACTGCTGGTCAGGCCGTGTCCGACGCACGAGCAGCGCGGCAGCGAGACAGAAGCGGGAAGCGGAGCCGCCGGTGGTGGTGGCCGGCACGTCGAGCCCTGCTATCCGGATCTGCTGGACATCGCGAGGACCTACGCGGCGATACCGGAGCGTTACTTTCTGGTGTCGCCCGATCCCGGCGCGATCGCGTCGTCGGCGCAGGCCAAGGCCACGATGACGACGACGTCGATTCAGCTGCAGAGCAACAGACCCAACGTGGCCGGTGCCGAGCTGGAGTCGCCCTACGACAACATGGGACCGAGGATCACCGCGAACGGAACGGGCTGCGACTCGGCCGCGTCCCAGCTCGCCGAGGACAACGAGTCGGCGGCCGTAGCGCCGCTCATTCAGCCGCCGCCGGAATTCGTGTCGCTCTGAGACGAGGAGGACGAAGAGGAGAAGGACAGCGGTGACGAGATGATGGACGGCTCGGCGACGGAAAACCAACGCCTCGATAATTACGTTCTATGGAAATCAAAGCTCTGAGTCTCGCTCGGCAGTTAATGGACCGACCGCAATGCTCCGAGGTTCCTTCTGCAGCAGCCAACCACACACTCGCACATATGCAATGTATATAGATAATAATTGAAAGCCGGACGAACGTACGTACACAAATCCGTATGCTTTATGCCCATTTCCGCGTTAATCCAGTCAGCCAGAGAAGTATTCAGTGCGCGTCATTATCTCTTTTATACCAAGAAATGATCCGTATATGGCCGCTTCTCTGTCAAATCGAATGGCCGTAGAATTTTTTACTGCTGCGATGGAAACTCGTTTTTCTTTCGGCGTACGTGTTCTCAAATTTTGTTCGAATTTCGGGGACCGCCTATTACCATGACTTAGAGTCTCGGAATTTGCGTTTTTCCAAAATTCATAATTATTTCTAAAATAAAAAAAACTACTTACGGAAAAAAGTGCTACAGAGCATTTTTCTAAGCTAGAATTTTTCAAATTTTAGCATTAATCATGAATTTAGGAAAAACGAAACTTTAGACCTCTAAAAAAACTGATGAACGGCCTGGAAAATTTTGATTCATTCGATTTTACAGAGAATCGACCATATGTACCCATGCGTATATGTAGATACGTGATTCAAGCGGAGATCCTGATTCGCGAATAACAGGCTTTGTCGGTGGAAAAACATTCGAAGCGTGTTTTAATGCGACAAAAGAGAAGAGCAGAATAGAAGAGAGAAAAACGGTTTAAATTAAATGAGAATAAAATTAATAAAACCTTCTATTGATATGATAATCGCGGAATTTTCGCTACGTTATCGGATTGTACCATATATTTCGTGTATTATATTCGTATTATTTATTTATACAAATACTTCAAGACCCAAAGGCTGCATTTAATTTTAAGCGCTTCCATACACAATCCGTGCAATTCCTAAATACATACAACGTGAGTAAAAACAAGACACGTTTGCACGTAATAACAAAAGAACTCCGATTCGACTGCTGCGCCAATTGCAAATAACATATTAACACGTTATTACGAAACTTTACACAAATACTTACCGATGTGATTTAAACCTTGTGATGATTTTAATTAGTTCGTATAAGAATTTACCCGCCGTTCGCGACCGATGTTTGTGCCAATAGTGAACATTTACTCTGCAAGCGTGTGCTTTCATCGATTTATATATGTATAAAATAAATGTGTATGAATTTACCCGTCAATTGACGCAATTTTTAGGGCGTAAAGATGAATTTTTTCGTGTGGCGTAGCAATTATATTCGGCATGTACAGACGTAGTGCGTGTAAGGGAAATAAATACATTATACATGTTATATATTTTAACATTAACGTACTGAAAGTAAAAAGACTTCTTCCATTACTCTATAAGAACTCTCAATTATCTCATGATTTCTTCCAAGGGATTGATCCCTCTCTAATAATGATCCTTTTCTCTCTCTTGATACATACATATTTAAAATATGTGTATAAAAATAAAATTATATATTACCAATGTAAACCGGTGTGGAAAAACGTGCAGCTTGTTGATCGTATATCAGTGTATGCGAGAGCGAAGAATATTTGAAAATATGTATTTTCTAGTTGATTCAGAATCCCCTTATAATACGCCAAAAGATCTCATCCATCAATCGTCCATCCATTGATATCCCTCCATAGCTCGATCTCCATTTTAATAAAAAAAGTCGTCTATTACTATCATTCTTTATTAAAGTCCAATCTCTAGATCGCTTTTAAATATTCATCAACGAATGACCATAAATCGCAAATGAATTATAAAAAAATGTTGTACATATATTTTATGTATATATCATACGTATTAAAATAAGAATAGAGACGCCAAAACCAAATGCCAATTGTAAATAATGAATCTTCATTCATTTTAATTATCCAATTCTCTTCCAATTTGAAAAAAAATGAATACGATATTATTATTGAAAAATCATGACAAGTTTCGATGAGATGAAAAATAATTATATATTATTATATACGAATATATACATATATCTTATAAACATATACATTTCTCAAAGCTCTCCGTGCCCTTGTACCTTGTATAATCCTTTTAATAAAAAAAACCAACAAACCATTTCCATTTCCTACGTACGTTAACATAATATAAATGAGAAAGAAAATAAAACCAAAAATAAACGCGAACAATTTTTCTGCCCGGGAAACCCATTTTTCTGAAACTAGAGTATGTATAAACGAACGCTATAAGTTCTATATATCGTAGACAAAAAACCAAGCAGAAATAATCGATGAACCGTGAAAGAGTGGGAATTCGCAAAGAACGAACTAGTGAGAAAGATACGCGTTAAATGCATGCAGCAAAACATTTTTTCTCTATTTCTTCCCTATTTTTTTTCTGCGCGTAATAACGAAGTCACTTTTATTATGTAACACATTTATGTACTTATATACCCCTTTTGACATAACTTGCATGTAACAACAATATTGGCGAACGATTTTATCTCACGATTATTGCGTGAGAAAAATGAGAGAAAAACGTCATCTCGTTGAAAAAATAATCTTACGGAATACATAGGTACTTGCACCAAGGCAAAAGCGTAACCAAATGACAATCTTTTTCGTTCATTGACGTCTAAAATCAAAAAAAACTCTATCCGCTTTAGCTTTTCTTACCTCAATATGAATATAAACATAAATTGAAAATACAGCCTCTCATTACCGGCATTTGAAAGAATAAATGAACAACGGAAAAAGTAAATATGATAATATATATTTACTATGTACATGAATATAGATTCGTTGAATTTACCCCGTGTAAATAGTGGTTATGGTTATATTATATAGAAAATATATAAATTGCATAATAACGAGACGTGTACGCGTGAGAAAAATATGCTTTTTTTACGTAAATCAAATGAAATTGTAAGAATATTCAAAACAATGGTGTCTTTCAACGAAATAAAATCAAAGAAAAATCCATTACGGCAGAATTTTGCACGAATGAGTTTTTGCGAGCTAATAACAATCAAATTGAGCGTGAATAAACACCAAATGCAAAGTGAGCATCGTTTATACAGAGTCGATTTACGATACACCCACGCATGCTTCAAAGTCGCGCGCGGAAAAGCCGTGAGTATGTCGTGCCAGCAAGACTCGCGGAAGCATAAAATTATGACATTTCCTCATGTGGTTTCTTATATATAATGTGAAACTGCATGATGTATCGCACGCACGAGCAATGCTCCCTGTATTACTGTGACGACAAACGAATGTTAATGCCGTGCCCGCGTCGCGGCCTTCGCAAGCAACAACGTGTAAAAACGAGAGCGCGTATAACGTCGATATTTATTATGAACGCTTTGTCAATTACGAAAACCCAATAAAACAGAAAAATAATGTGGTAGTAGTTAATAAAAAAAAAAAACACAAAAAAAAGGTAAAAGAAAGAATACGCGAGTTTTTTCGACGAAAAAGTTTGCAAAATTTTGAGAAAAAAAACACGCTGACGTATGCATTGTATTATACATGCACACACCTGCGTGCGAAAGAGAGTTTGCGCGTGCGAGAGCGAGAATAATAGGGTGAAAGAAAATTTGCGTTGGTTTATATAGGCTTAAACAAAAATTAATCTACTCAGTGTGTTTGCGCGAGGGAGCGAGCGAGGTGCAAGAGAAACAGAGAGTGAAAAATTCAAATACCAAATTTCGGGAAATTTCGGAAAGGAGCAGGAGGATTGATTAACGCGCGCCCTTCTACTCGTTACTCCACGCGTCGTGTTTTGCAGCACTACATCCGCCTATGCGTATAGAAAACGCCGAGTTAAAACGTGTAACCCCATTACATTGTGTATTAGCAAAAGGAGAATAAATGTGTACGCGATGCGAGCGCCTGTGTGCCGTACGCGAGTATATGGGTATACCAAATTGTATTTACCCGTGCGATTGTGTGCAGCGGTATGTATTCTTGTGTGTGGGTATGCGTGTGCGTTGAAATGCAAAGCGATGAATGAAGTTCGTTAGTAATAGACTTTATTGTGTAAGCCGAGGCGATGTTATAAATATATATAAATTCGTTGAATAAATAATGCATAAATAGATATATATTATAGAAAGAAATCAAACAACAGAAATCAAATAATAAATAAAAAGGGGGGACGAAAGAAGGCCGTGTAAGAAAAACTAAACGCTCGAATCTATAGTCATCTTTTAATTTTGAAAAAAAACAACAAGAAACTTTCATTCTGTCAAAAAATTGTAATTTTGTAAAGTAAAAAAAATATAGTTAAGCGAGAATACTTGAAAAAAAAAAGTTTTTCATTTTGTTGACCGATGAGAAATATATATATATATGTATACATACGAAAAATGGCAGAGCTACGTATCATAATAGTGCGTACGTATGAACGAGCAGGAGAGAGAGAAAAAAAAGAGAGAATAAAAGAAAAGTGTATGCAAACACATCGTATAAATGCAGTTGGTAATAAAAGAAAAATGTTACAAAATTATAAACTTTGCTTTTTTAATTTATTATATTCGCCATCAGATCCGTAAATAGAAGAGTAAAATATCAATTGGTTTATTTTTTATCGTTCGTTTACATAAATATACTGTATTTTTTTTCTTTTTTCAAAATTTAACACAAATATATAGGAATCTACGACTAGCCTATTGAATTTTTTTTCATTCGGCATCTATTTCACCGTTTTCATGACGGATCCAGTCGTCCATCAGATTATTCTGCCAGGACTGCTGCTGTTGTTGCTGCTGATGTCGTTGATCCGCATCTGTAAGTACGAATTTGAAATATATGTAATCTACTCATCATAAAAGTTAGTAATTCCTTTCACTAATATGCATGTAATAAGGATTTGACGATTATCCATTTACACCGCGCTAAAAATATGCGAGCAATTTTAATAAGCCGATGTAGGTGCACGGAAACGAGAGAGCTGCACGGGACCGACGGGAAATTCAAGACGTCTCTCTCATGTGCACACAGAGTGAATATGCACACACACAAACACACGGAAACACATGCATTAGGGCGCGCGGCAAAAAACGTCAAATCCTTCCCCATTTGAAGGCTCGTAATTTATCTTTGAGAATCAAATTAACGAGTAGAGCCTCTGTGCCCATGCACATGCACGCGTGCATGTGTGAGCTTGCATACTATACATCGTCGAGAAAATATATATTTGAATATAACATGCATAGATAGAACACATTGTGCTCGTTGTCTCTATATGTAAGTATATGCGCCGAGTGTTATTTGCATTGCCTCGTCTACTAATTAAATATGAAGCGAACGTGACGAGAGAGGGAGTGGGATAGAGAGAGAGAGAGAGAGAGAAGCTCGGTCGTGCGAGAGCTACTCTCATTAATTTAAACATCCAAACGAACTTCAATTTGTATTCCAATTTCATCACATAGCCATACGCGCTCGCGCGCACACACACGCACGCAAGTACATTCGCATACCAAGCCTTGACGTTGGTGGGTATGTAGGATAGATATATAATACGCAGTGGAGCGCACGAACGCAATGTACATGTATACACGCAGACACACATACAAGGAAACACTTTCACACGTGCTATGTAGTTTGCGTTCCGATGACGCGTGTGCTTTTGCTCGTTAAATTAAGTTTTGTATGTCTTTGGGTTAAAGCGATCTGTATCGATCGGATGCACACATTTATATACACATCTGCTCGTCGCGCGCATTTACGCGTCCAAAGTCTTCGGCGAATGGTAAATGCGTGCTCCGCCGCTGCGGATGTATAACTCAAAAGTCGAGCTTTTTCGCGCGAAATATTTGTACGGTACTCGGTCGAGAGAGGATTACATTGCGAAGGAATGAAAAAAAAAGAGAAAAAATTAAGATCTCGCCCTAGCAAAAAAAAAGGGCAAAGGTATTTCGCGCTAAAAGTGAGCAAAAAAACAATACGATTTATGGTATATGCATAATAAATCGATGTGCACTTACCGAGAGCGGCGGCGAGCGCAGCAGCACTGGTCTGATAAGCCGTTAATGGAAAGCCAGCATCGATCAGATCGGCGTAATCGAGCAGCGGCAGGACGCTCGAGTCGAGTTTGGCCGCCCGAGCTGCTGCTGCTGCTGCCAGTGACGGTGGTGGAGCATCGACCAGCAGCAGCCCGTTGCCGGACGCGCCAGCCGTTCCAGCTGCTGCTGCTGCAGTGCCAATGATTCGCGGCACAGCGAACAAAGCCATCGGCGGCGACGATGTCAACATTGTCGGATCGCTTCTGCGGCCGAGCCTCGGGTACGGGAACAGTAAACTTCTCCTTTTGCAGGCTATTATGGCAGCGGTCGTACGGTACAGTAGTGGATGCGGACCAACGCAGTAGTATAGGATTGTAGCGCAGCAGCACACACACACACAACCACATGCAGCGCCAGCAGTACAGCAGAGAGAGAGAGAGCAAATGCGTATGTACAGTGCCAGATCATTAGTATAAGTGTTACTGCGCGGGGCGCTTGTACACGCGAGAGGCAACGAGCGAGTACATATAGACGTTTCCAAGAGTGTGCAAACAAATCAATCCTTTAGCCCCATTGACTCGGAACTATACGATATAATACGATATTTTATATACACACATATATATATCCTTGCGCACTCCTTTTTACGTACAATAGCCAGGAGCAGACAAAAGCTCGAGAGGAATTCCTCTACGGCGGAAGTTCAGGTGTATGTACGCCCGCGCGTCTATGTATGTGTGTGTATGCTGCTACGTAGTATATGTATGTGAGCGCGCTGCTACAAAATGCGCGCTGTTTGACTTTGAAAATCAATTTCTCGCGAACAAATTTATCGGATACTCTCGCTCGCTGTTCGATTCGTCACGAAAACTTATAAATAAACCGTACACGGGGCTTTTGTAAAAGAAAAGCGCTCCAGCTCATGTATACCAGTGTGTATGCGTGTCAGTGTGTGTCGTGCGTGTATATATATGTGCGAGCGCGCGCGGGGTCGTACACAACTTTCGATGCAACTTTTTTATTCTATGTACGAAATTTCCTCTCCGCTAAAAAGTTTTTTAAGTACAAAAGAGCAGCGAAAGAGTAAGAGGGAGAGGGGATGAGAGAGAGAGAGAGAGACGAGAAAGAGGGAGAGTCGCCAACCCCCGCGAAATTTGCGATCGTGAACGTGTGAATATAAAAGTTAGATCGGAAACTTGTTGAAGTAGTCGAAGCAAGAAAGGAGAGTGGAGGCGAGAGGCAGCAAAAAAAGGGATAGAAAGAGAGAAGTAGCAAAGACGATGGAGAAAAATGACCATCTCACCGATGAAAAGTGCCACTTGAAAAATTGCCAATTAAAAGGCCGCTGCTAGCCACAATCCAGATATCATTTTTTTCCCCTTCCATTATTGCCCATCTTTTGTCTTTTCTTTTCTTTCTTTTCTTTTTATATTATCTCTTTCTCTTTCTCTCTCTTACTTTCATCCCTTTTATCGTTGCCGCCGCGAAAAACGCCTCCCGTGATTTTTTTCTCCCACACATACACGTCGTATAATGTATGTAATGGAGTATGATTGAGGCGTGGTGCGTTGCACGTCACGGGGAAAAAATCTCGAGAAAAATCCCGGCGCGAGCTCGCTCCTTATATGCCCCGTCTACAAAATCGTTCATCCAGCTCCGAATGAACATGCATCTCGTTTTACCTCGATCAAAGCAGAAAAATTTGAAAAAAAAGAAAGAAAGAAAAAACAAACGAATCCATATGTATGACTCGCCTCGATCGGATAATTTCCGCCGGCGTGTGTTTATTTATGTCTCTCATATCGCTCGCTCGTACTTGATGAGCTCCGATCGCGAATATCAAGATTGATTAATGAAAGAGAAAAAAGTAAGAGAAAAAAAAGAAGAAGAACCGTTATAGTTGAGTATATTATTTATCGTTACAATTCCGCGCACTTTTATACGAAACGGTTAGATATTTCATCGCGCGAGCTCACCGTTTCTCCATACATTCTGCCAATAACAAGTAGTGACAATATATCTTAAAGCTCGGGAGGCTCGAGGGAATGAGGGGGCGAGCGGAGCATGGAAAGGGGGGAGGTTTCGGGAGGCGCACATGCACACACACTCACACAGAGGTACTAGGGGTCATACATATATATCTATACACTCGCGTAACAGCGTAGACAGACATAATATATTGAAAAGAAAAAGGAGCCCCCTGTTTGCCGTCGTATATAGAGAGCCCCGTGCAGGCTATATCGCCGCTAAGAAATATCTTTTTAAGTAATAATCAATAGTATGCGCGCAGCACATGCACTGCCACCGCACACATATAGAGCTTCGCACGCGTTGTGTGGTGTATGTACCCTATAGTAGGCGCACACAGTGCAGTGATATATGCACGCGCGCGGGTCGATATTATATAGTTCGGCCTCGGCAGAGCTCTTTCTCTGCCGCGCGCGCGTTACGGTATAATTACGAAATTTGCCTACGTGTGTGCGTTACATATTTGGCCCTCTCGTGTGCACGAGGAGGAGGATGAGCATCCGGATGATGAGGAGGAGGCAGGCGGCCAAAAAGTGTCGCGCGCGACAAATTCATCAAGGCGCACGCCAGCGTGCATAATAGGCTGCTGAATATCGCAGCTAACGCGCAGAGACTCACGCTTATCCATAATGAGCTCGATTAATATAATCATCGAGTGATTCGCGCGCGCGCCGCCGTACGTATTATAGGAAGATCGCGTGAGAGGAGCTACTACGCGACGAGGTGACGCCGCGAGAGTTACGATATAAGCTTCATTTTCCGATCATCGTATGCATATCCCGCCTCCGCGCGTATAACGGCACCCCCTGCTGCTGCTGTCTCTTTAACGACGAAAGCTTGTATAACATATAATACGCACAATGTACGATATGTGTACAACTAATAACGCGAGCGAACCTTTTCGCGAGCGCCCGAAAGCTATGTACATCGTATATTACGATAATTCAGGCGTATATGGCGTAGGTAGCGAGAGATACATTATATTTCGGTGGCGCGAGTGGGTGAAGGCAAACATCATATACGCATATATTTTGCACATTTGGACGTTATACGTTTGGTTGTGCACGCGATGCTAGAGAGAGAGAGAGAGAGAGAGAAGCAAGCCGTGTCTAGTGCCGGCGCGTGTTATTATTCTCGTATTTCTAAACTCTCGCGTTCGTATAATCGGCTATATGCATGCGCTCATTCGTTTGCGCTCGCAGAGTTCGGCGTACACAGTAGCAGCAATAGAGCAGAGAGAGAGGAGAGAAAGAGAATGAATATGTATCGTGTTAGTCGTCTGCGCTCTCGTTCGTTATATATACGGGAAAACAAATGACACCGAAATCGCGAAGAAGAGCAGCTGCAGCCGCGGTATAAACGATTATCGATGCTCGACGAGCGACGAACAATAGTCTCTTTTGTGTGTAAATGCAACAACAACAACAGCAGCAGCAGCAGCAGAAGCAACGAGTCGTTTGAAATCTCACTCTCTCTCTCGGCTGAAATGTTTTTCGCGCTCTTTTACGTCGACGTCGAGCGGCGTAATCAACTAATTAGCGTCGCGGTATACGTAAGCGCCTCCACAACTGAAGCAGCAGCAGTACTGCAGCTATACAGCGTAATAAGGCCTCTCTCTCTCTCTCTCCCTTTTACAAATCTCGGCTGCACCGCCCTATTATAAATATAGGTATATACGCACGCGCGTGTATGCACAGACGCGTGGAAGCGCATTTGCAACTCGTTACCGCGCGCCTATATGCATCATAACGTCTGTTGAGTGTGCGTAATGTTCAATTAATTGTTTTATCGCGGCACCTGCACACGGCAACCCGACATAGGCACTGTAGCCGACTACGCCGACTAGCCTACCGCCACCCCACTCTCTACTATTGCTGCTGCTGCATCGTAGAGAGAGAGAGAGATACACAAGTACAGCTTGCGCAGCTTCTTCCTGTTCTCTCTCCCTCAAACTCAGATGTGTACTCGGGCGCGCGGTAAAGCTCGAGCAGCGCAGCAGCAACGGCATAATAGGCCTATACAGAGTTTTATATGCCTTCGGGCCCTTTAGGGCGTAATGCTTGACACGAGCTGGGTAATGCTCTCTGCGCTAGCTACCCTAGCGATGAGAGAGAAGCAAAGAGGAGAGAGAGAGAGAGAGAGAGAGAGAGAGAGAGAAAGAGAGATGAAGAGGCAAAAAAAAAAAGTAAAAAAGATGAGACTCGAGTGTGCGGTGCATGTGTGCTGCTGCTGTTATACCGCTACTGCTGCTACACTACTGCTGTGCGCTCACGACTTTTAACCTACTTTTGTTTCATTATTAATGACTCGCGCGAGTTGCGAAATCTCCGCTTATTATACCGAGTACATAACGGACTCGCGCAGCCTACCGTCTTCTCTATAGGTATATATACTCGATAGATTTGTTTTATATAGGATCGTAATGCCGCACGTCGTACGCTTCATTTTTTTTCCTTTTTCCTCCTTCTCTCGATCCCTCTTACTCCATATACGTATATAGAGGAAAAAATTAATTGACGTAGGGGAAATTGAAAAAAGAGGAAAAGTAGTGACACATTAATTTGCGATAGGCACCCCGGCCCCATTATATATAGGCATATATACTTACAAAAGAAGAAATTTATTCCGACGAACTCACCTGATATGGGTAAGCCTTTGGGACACTCGACCGGATTGCCAGCGGACGACTCGCCGATGTACTTTTTCGGCGATTTTGCCACCGCATCTGCAACAGACCAAAACGCAAAGAGGGTAGTAAAACCCATTAAAACAAGGAAAATTCATTCGGCCAATGACGTTTCTACGTATCTGCACTCTCTCCCTTTTCCTCTCTGTTACCAAGAGCTCCTCTCGATATATACGTAAGCGTAAATGGCCGTATATCAAAAACCACTCGAAACAATTATTCCGCATACATCACCGTATATATATTTACAGCCTGAGTGGGCGCACTCGGTATATGGCGGGTGATATATATAAGCGCAATTATTTCCAATATAATGAACTCGCATATTGCTATATTGTGTAGGTAGCGATAAGTAAGAACGAGCGCATCGAAATTGCACAGCCGACAAAAAATGTATGTACGTACGTACGCTTTTATCATGCGGCCGAAAACATATTTAAGTTTTCGGGTCGCTCTCGTGCGCGCGCGGACATTTTAATGGATTCTCAATGCAGTCTGATTGCGACATTTATTAAAAAGTCATTTTTCTCCCTTCTAATTCCCTTTCGGAGCTGTGCATTCGTCGTGCACGGCTCGTGTGCACGCGCGCGTTGTAATTTTTAGATTGATCACATGCTCGTGCGTTGAAAGCTCGATGCAGTGCATGTGAAAAGGAAAGAGCACGAGGCAGGAGGAAAAAAAAACAAAACAAAATATGCACCTACCGCAATATGTATAACTGTATACTTTAAAGAGGAGCTTTGATTCGTTGGATTAGTTCGCGTTTCGTATTTTTCGAGCGAAATCGGATACCAAAGCGAATGAACGGTACACGCACGTAAGGAGAATCTTTTAAATCGAAAAATGCAGCTCGTGCTTTTTGCCATCGAACGCGCGTAATTCGTTTCGTACGAGGAGCTTTATTAAATGAGTAGAAAAGGCGTGTTTACAGTCCACCCTATTTCACGGACAATTATCAGGCGGAATTAAATAGTTCAGCTTACTTCAGAAGTTTGCCGCGGCGCACAAAAAACTAAGGTATATGAAAAAAATTCTTCTTTTCTGGCTTAATGCAATATTAAAATTGTCGCGTACGCGTTTTTACGTGTGTGTGTCACTCGACAAGCTCGCCAAAGTCGCTCTCTCATATAGATAGGTAATGTTACCTTTGAACCTGATAATATGCACCTTTCTGACATACCGAAAAGTATCTTTCATCGCGTACCTGCTACAGTACCCTCCACACGCTCACGTACACACACACACACACACACACACACACACACACATCCCACAAATGGTTGAGAAACATCAAGTGCGCATGATGAGCGCAAAGGCTTTGAAGTGTATCAAACATCGTATATATGCCGCGCGCAACTGAGCGCGGCCGCGAAAGAGAGAGAGAGAGTGAGAGAGAAAGAGAGACGCCGTCGGTGGCAGCGGCCGAGTGTTAGAGTAGTACAAACTTTATTCAACGGAAAAAAAAATTACCGAGGAAACTTTTCGAGCTTCTCACGTGTGTAGTATACGCGGCATCGCGCGTATACGAGTGGTGCGTCGCCGTCGTCGTCGTCGTCGTCGTCGTCGTCGTCGTCGTCGCATGTGTGTACTATGCATCATATATCACGTTATTCGAGCTTGCAAAAAAAAACTAAAAAAAAAATGAAAAAAAATAAAAAAGATGATGAAGAAGAGGAGACACCCCATGACTTTTTTATATACCTTGGCGCTCTCTGTGTTCTTTCATTAGATATGTGCCTGGGACACGCTGAATATATGTACGAGCTGGACTCGGCGCGGCGCCACAAATATGCCACCTACACTTTCATTGGCTGTTATTATACGTCAGCGTAATCGTTGCTAAAAGAGAGTGGCAGTAGCAGCAGCAGCAGGAAAGAAGTCGAGGAGCAAAGTAGCAAAAAAAAAGTGGGAAAAAAAGGAGGAAAAAAAATAGAAGGGAACTGTGACTGCGCGCGCAAGCTTTTTTTCCCCCGGTTGCGCATTCAATTGTTACCTCGGGTACTTCTTTTGCGACATACGTTACTTCGCGGCGCCCGCATCGTTAAGCGTATGCGAGCACATGTGTGCATGCCCATGTGTTCTTGTGCATTTCGGTGTGCAATCGAGTAAGTCTGTGCACTGTATGTGTGTGTGTGTGTGTATGTGGGTGGGTGCGTAATTGAGAGTCGACTCATGGAAAATAATTGAGTTCCAAAAAGTATGCACGTATTGAATTTTCGAAAGGTACTGCTCTGCCTGCACAAAAAATTTGCCTGATGCCCTTTTTATCATTTCTCTCTCTCTCTCGTTTTTTCTTTCTTTCTGCTCTCGTTGAAAATTATTATTATCGTCGGCGTGTATATTATATACACACGAATTGACTGTTCGTTTCTCGAGCTTCGTCCAAGAACTGAAAACAAAATTATTATGATTATTCCTTTTTTTCTCTCATTTTTACTCACAAATTAACTGCGGATTACGCGCGCTCGAGTGTCATATTACATCGAAATCAAGCCGCAGAAAAAATGCTGGAGTAGATATTTCATGTATCTTTAAAATTTTAATCAAAAAATATTTTTTACCGGCCAACTGCCTGCTACTATATATAATACGTAGAAGTACGCGCGGGCGAGCGGGCGCGCACGAGTAGGAAAAGATACATAATTTAGTGAAATATTGCTCGCGATATGCGCCACCACTGCCACTCGCGAACGAAATTGAATTTATAAAATCATACGAAATAATAAATCTTGTTCCTTTTCGCTGCTGCTGCTGCTGCACAGCTCGTCGGCGCGGCAACTCATGCACCCGTTTTTCTCTCTTTGTTCTCTCTTCATCGAATCGTCGAAATTTCTTACACAATGCTCGAAAATATAAACTCTCTCGAGCGCTTCGAGCGCGCGGCTGTGGAGTTATAACTTTTCACCTTGCCAGGCATCATCATCATCATCATCATCGTCATCATCAAGCCCGCGTCGGAAAACTTGCGCGCGGCAACCTACATATTATTATACATATTTATACACGCGTATAACTATGCGGATCGCTATAGTTTCGTATACAGCAGCTAAAGAGTTTGACTGCTGAATTTTGCCACTTTTGTGTTGTACATATGACGGCGTCCGCACGAATTATCCGACATGCAGCTCGCGCGGAGGGTAATTTTACAGTGTAGTGCTACATTTATAATTCACTCGTCCTTGCTGTGCGAAAGTAGGTGGTGTTCGACTTGATATTAGATTTTTTCTAAAAAAAACTAAATTTTTGATAAATCATCGTACAAAACATCGTATAGAGAGGGTCAAAGTGTATCCATCGAAACCCATAAGTGAAATATTTATTTAGCACCATAGACGTCGGGCGCAGGCCTCACACGAGTTATCAATCTAGCACTATATAACATTGCAAAAATAGCTCGCTGATAGTCCGTGGAAGCCGTCATATACACGGCGTACTTGCCGAGGTCTTTGTCAATTTCATCCACAACTACACTCGAACATGATTCGGTATAGTACTAGAAGCGTCTAAATTATAAAGCGGTACTTTTATTTCACTTTCTTTCTCTCTCTCTCTCTCTCTCGCTTACTCCGCCAAAAGCATATTGCGCTGCCGCAGTCATTACGTCATTATGACGAATGAAAAGGCTATAATTTTCAATTAAAAACTCGTCGTCGCGCGCGCGTGGGGCGCGATTCCGAATTAAAGAGCTTCAAAGCCTTACACCACTCGATCATTTTGTTCTATATTCTCTTTCTCTTGCCACGCGCGCACACACACACGCGCGCGTTTGCATATATAAACTTGAAGAGGCAAAAGTGAGAAACAACAAAATGGGGAAAAAATAGGAAAAAAGTCGAGGCCAAAAAAAAAAGAGTCTCGAATTCGCAGCGAGGAAAATAGCGGGTAGCTTGGCTCGGGCGCGCAGCAGCTATCGGTGCGGCGGCCAAAAATAAAAATAAAAAAAAAAGTCAACGAGTCCTTTTCGTCATTGAGCAAGTGCGCGTGGCAAATAAAAGGACAAAGGCATGCTGCCGCTGCAGGTACGCGCACACTCGCACAGAGCTGAGTATAGAGGGGCATGTGCGCTCGTGTGCGCGTATAAAGAGAGCTCTCGGAGCTTGAAAATTTGTCCGAAAGAGAAATCTCGCTCGCTCGCTCGCCAGTGGATATAGATTGAGATAACAGCATTCACGACTTATCTGTCCATCTCTATCGTACATATAGCTCTCTGCCTCTCTAGCTCTCTAGCCAAAGGGGCCAAGAGGACGCGTGCCCGAACACATACATATAGATACGAATGAATATACGAAGGTGCGCGGGCGGAATGTTTGCGAAAAATCCCGACGAATATTCTTTTACACGCGCGCGCACTTCGATATCCCACGCTACATGTATACGCGCACATATTCGCACACATTCATACCGACGCACAGAGCTGGGATAGATATAGGTGGTACGCGCCAGTAACTTTGGCTGCTCGTGCGTGATCGTTCACACACACACATACAGAGCGAAAGCTACCTTATAACCGTCTATAGGTAGTAATAGCAGAGCGAGAGAGAGAGAGAGAAACGATTGTTGCGATAGGGTTGATTGAAGTGCACGCGTGGCGGCTGCAGCAGCTCGCAGCAGAACAAACACAGCCCCGAAGCGGTTCTTGCTGCTCCCGCTATTGCACGCTGTGCTGCGCACCTATATCCATAAACGAAAATCGCGTGCTCGCAAGCTCTGCACGGCTCTCCCGCTTCATTTTCTATCCTGTTTTTTTTTGCTTTCTTTTTTCCTTACTTTTTGGCCCGTGCATTTCAACCGCGTGCATACGTACGAATGGAGGTGCTCGCGCGCGTCATGCGCGGTAAAGTTAAGCGCGCTAAAAGGTCGAGGACAAAAAAGTAGCGCGCGCGACACGCTCGCCTGCAAAAGAAGTAATAATAATGCATAAAATAAAGATGAAGACGCGCGGTATAAAGAAGAAAAACAAACGAAAGCAAAAAAATGTGGGTAAATTTCCAAGAGACTCACCGTCGAACTCGACGAGCAGCAGCAAGAGCAGCAGTCCGAGCGACAGATAGCGATGCAGCGGGACTACTTTGTTGTCGGCGTTTCCGCTGCTCCTCATCGTTGCGTTAGCTATATAAGACGGTGCGCTGCTGTGTATATGCAATCCGACGAGCTTTTGCGTCTTGTATTCTCTCTCTCTCTCTCTCTTCCTCTATCTCGCTATCTCTCTCCTCGCACTTTGAGACTTTCTGGCGAAATGCAGAGACGCTCGGCTTTGCCTTTATAGATATACGCAGTGCACACACAGACACGCATAAGACGCTATGTGGTCTCGTGCGCGCGCGATAAGGCCAAAAGACACAAGGAAGATCTCGCGCGCGCGAGAGGCTATTACTCCTACTCCTGTGTAGCTGCTGCTGCTCCTCCTTGCCTCGGCACTATCACATGTATACTACGCATCGTTCCATACTGCCTTTACACACTTTATACGTATACGTTGTTGTACTGCGATATACTTCGCAATATGTGTCTCTGCTACTGTCGGTCTGTGTGTGTGTGGGTATGCACAACCCCCCGAGGGTGCGGCTTGATTGTGTCGTATATACCTCTCTATTTTGTGTAGAAACACACTGTGTGCATATACATATATACGTATATACCCTCTACACACCCATGCGACGAACCAGTCTGATGTTTTTTGTTCCCAGATGCGGAGCAAAGGGACCTGCTCTGATAATGAATGTGTCGCTGCCACTGTACGTTGCTGCACCGCCGCTGCCACTGTTACGCCTGTGTCCTTTTTTTGCTTTGTTTTGGCCTTTTTAGCCTTTTTGTCCTTTTTTTTGCTTTGCTTATAAATTCGCAATTGATCTACATTGAATTATCATCCGATGCGGTGCTGCTGCTAGAGAGGTCTCGGTCATGATTGAGAAGTGGACAAAAAACAAAATTATCGCACTTGGTATCAAGGACGCGAGGTAGAGTTTCAAACGCGAACGCGTTACGGTCGAAGCTCCCACGATGGCAAATATATATAACAGCGGGTAACTTGCCAATTACAAAAATGGACAGTCAATCAAAAAATTGCGCAAAGGGGAAAACATTTTTAATTACGCTTTTGCCCCGCGCTCGTTACGCACTTGACTACCATGACCAGAGAGAGCTGAGAGAAGCCAAAGATAACGGGCAAAAAATTTTCCCAACGTTTATCAGTTGTACCTTTTTGAAAAATTCCCTCTGCAATTTAAAACTTCTGCTTATTGAAAATGTTCGAATTTTCATGCTCTCGTTCGAATTTATTCGCAAAAGATATTAACGCTATTATTCAACTTTTGTACATTTTAACCGGTATGGTTTACATATTCATACGTATTATGCACAAATCCGATTGTTTTGCGCTCGAAACGAAATTCGCAGCCCGATCGTATTACTCTCCCTCTCTCTTCTTTTTAATGCGAAAAAATATATCGTTTCTTGCTTTCCTTCGCTCATCCCCTTGCTGGTGAAATTGTACGAGCATTCGTAATTTGATTTTTTCTTTCTCTCCTTGCATTACTTGAGGTTTACAATGAAGAATCAATCGTGAAAACTATATTGGGTAACCGCACCAGTGAATGACCGAGTTGTTGTTTTTTATGTTTTGAAGAACAGGAAAACTTTAATGATTGCGACTAAAAAAAACTAAATATATTATCGCATAGTTAATTAAGTGTTCAATCAATTAAAAATATTGAAAAATCATTTTAGCATTATGAATATGATTAAAAATTGTGATTTAACGTGTCGCCTCGAAAACGCCAGTTAATTACATTTCCCCAGAAAACATGTCCGGTCGACGTCCAGTAAATAATGACCGATACATTATCGTACGAAGTTTTTACAAAATTAAACATTACCGTTCGTTTAGATAATCAATTCTATTCGTAAATAATTGTTACTATAGTTCAGTTGTGGTCGAATCAGCACTGATTGAATTGGTTTCATTTAAAAATCAATAAAAATAGATTAATAACAAACTTAAACTGTATACTATTGTATTCTCAAAGATCGGTCACTTACTGGTCGTATGCAAATGGACGCTTCGTACCAATGAATTACCACAAAAAATGTGCAATCTTTTTTTATGCGTAGTTAATAAAACTTATACGTGGGTCGAAAGTTGATGGAAATTAAAAGTATAACATCGCTTTGTCTTGGACAACTATTATAAATTAGATTAACATTCTTACATTCAATTTATAAGTGATTATTGATCACGCGGTCATTCCCTGGTACCCGGGCATTGATTGGTACGACTAGCCTGCACACACTCAGGCGCAGGAGGCGCAGCGCAATCGTTTTCCATACACGCGAGTTATTGTTTTAATACACTCAATCGATCCAATTTACGAAATTAATTAAATTTCTGAGCGTCAATCCCGAAGCACGAGCCGCCAGCAAAGTCGTCTCTGTATAACTCGCACGTGCAAGCGCGTCAAGTGCAAAGGGCCGTGAGGACTGATTTTGCAAATATAAATAAATATAATGACGTAGCCGATGAAAATTGACTCCATCATCCGTGTGTATGTATACGAGCGACGATATAAAGTATCTGCAAAATAGCGGTATCGAAATAATTTGATTTGTATACGTATGCAGTAAAAGCGTGCATGTGTGCAGGCTCGATTGATTCGAGCGAAAAAATGTGTATTTTCTGCCAACGCGATACATATACGACACACAGCGCGATCTAATGACTCTATATTGCATCGGGTTGGCTTCGGCACGTGGCATCGGCAAACAACAACTGCATGCAGCAGCGCAGTCCAAGTATTATAGGCTTCCTCCGACGCTACGTTATTCGATATAGCCTGCGCGCAAAGGCTCAAATTTGACGCAGTCGATCGCATAAATGTATATATTCATCGTGTACACATAGAGCAGCAGCAGCAACAAGCCGATATATTGGACGGTTCAGCGAGAGAACAAATTTGTATCTAAAAATGCCTCGATCCGGACCACCTACCCCGCGCGCGATGTCGTGCATAGATCGCACGCGTTCCTGAACAACAAAAAAGGGAGGGCGAGCAAAAAAATGAGGAAAGAAAATAACCGGAGCTACTCTCTGTTCTAAACAAATTGGTTGGTACACGGGCGCGCATGATGGGCGCACGCACGCATCGCATTTGCATTTTTATGTAACAGTTTTTTAGACGAGCCGCTGTTGCTGCTGCTGCTGCTGCTGTTGCATCTCCATCGGAATAATTAACTTTTACACGCATCAATTACTCGATCGGCCGCGCGCCGCGCGTTGATGCTGCCTACACGCAACGCCATTTTTTCTCCATATACAGCACGGAGAGCCCCGAGCGCGTTTGATTGAATTTCAGCTTTTCCCGCATGCATAGCATAAATAAATAACAAAGCTTATTTCGAGCTTGGCGCGCGCACCGGCTAATCTATTTTTAATGACTGCGTGTGCAGCAGCGTCACAAACACCGATCGCATTACTTTTCGCTCTTTTATACTGCTTCCTGTGTCTGTGTGTGTGTGTGTGTGTGTATCTGCTACGCCGTAAAGTACATGTGTAGATAAAGAAGAGAGGACACGGATCGGAAATTTCATTACTTTTTCTTACGCGCTGGCAAAAATACCCGATAACGATTTTATTTATATTTTCTCGATGCTTTAAGGAAGCGTCCTTTACTTATCGAGGCGCGTGTTGTACTATGTGTAGTGCAGCAATTGCTAACGACGATGCGCGACACGATTCGACAAAACTCGATACTCTCTCTCTCTCTCTCTCTCTCTCTCTCTCTGGGGTAAAATATCCTCTCTGATTTCTACTTTGCTGCTAATTATCGAAACGTATCGAAAGGCGACTGAGCGTACATACAACTGAGCAACAGTTTCATTACCTGCGAAGATGACTCTCGCATTAAAGTTGTGTCCTGTATAAATACCAGGCAGTTCTTCAAACAATCACAACTTGTACCCTTGAACAAGTGAGCGATAGTTATTTGTTATTACAAAAAAAAAGACAACATTTTTTTGTTTTAAAATTGTTTTCTAAAAATCGACGTACTTTATAACTTTTTTTTTATTTTACAAAAACTTTGTACGTAGTTACATCATAAAAGTAGATTTTAATTATAAACTCGATGACGCTTTAATGAGTCAATATATTTTTAATTAACGCAGTTTTTGAATATGACTCCTTATTGACAAAGTTTCGATAAACTTTGATTTTCAATTTTTCCAACAACCGCTACAACAATCGTAAAAAAGTATAACGCAGCTTTTACGTTATAATCCAACAGCAAAAACGCACAGACTCGTTTTATGAGTTTCAACTGCCAACGGTGCCGGAGCGACTTGGAATAAACGCCCGGAGCGCAATCTAACGAAGCCTCTCGAAACCAGCCACTCATTTACCGTACTAGTGAGAGTCGAGCGATCGTCTCCAAAACTAAGGTTGTATATGCTCGTAACGCCGCCGGCGTCTGTTCCACTGCTCTCTGCAAAATTCTGTGTAACTCAAGTGACGTGTTGACTCTATTTGTGATTAGATCCATGTAATTTTTCCCCTTATAAATATTTACACTTGGCAATTTTTGCATCGGCTGGACGCTTTTGCGAGCCGCTCGACCGAAACATGGCTTTGCCGGCGAATTACAAGCAAGTGGCCATGTCTGCGGCCAACATCGCGACCCCGCCAGCTCGTAAGTTTTGTCCTTTGTTGTTTTCTCTTCGTGTAATCCATTTAAACATTGTTTACGATTGTTTTGTCAAACTTACTTTTAGCTCGAATGAGGCAAACTGGCTCTGGTTCGGCTGCTGCTGTAAGTACAACTTAAATTGTTGAATGTATATAATAAATTTTCATTTGAACTTGGAATTAATTTATGTCATCTGCAATTGTTGCACTTTACAGAAAGAGACAAGCCCTTTCATTCAGACTCCTCATGGACATCCAGGTTTTACTCCACAAAAAGTTGGCAAAAATGCTCCAGTATGATCTATATTCATTTGTATCTCTGAAAACTCATTCATTTTGTGCTAAACTCTAATGTGCGTAATTTTATAGACTGACTCAAGAATGCCAAAACCACCCAAGCCTCCAGAGAAGCCGCTTATGCCATACATGAGGTATAGCCGTAAGGTATGGGATACTGTAAAAGCACAAAATCCTGAGCTAAAACTATGGGAAATTGGTAAAATCATTGGACAAATGTGGAGGGATTTACCAGAAGATGAAAAACAAGAATATCAAGATGAATATGAAGCTGAAAAGGTTAGTTTGAATAATTTTAACATGATAGTATTTGTTATTAACACACTCAACAGATTATTTTTCTTTTTTAGGTTGAGTACGATAAGAGTTTAAAAACTTATCACAACTCACCAGCATACTTGGCTTATATTGCAGCCAAAAATAGAGGTAAATCTGATATGTTACAGACTTTTTTTTGCTTTTAATCACAAAAGAGAAGTCAGTGCTTCATTGAAAATTCATTACTAATTACAAGTAACCCTATCATTTCATTTGCTCAAGTATCAATTTGTATATTATATTTTATAATGTTTAATGAAATAATAAATAAGTATATTTGTTTTATAAATTACAATTTATCATCTTAATTTTAATATTTTCATTTACTGTACCTCATTTAGCATTGTGTGCAGCACAACAAAGTACTGATGATAGAGAAACTCACGATCGATCATCCAGTAGTAGCAAAAATCAAACTTCCCAAGATCGAAGGATTGACATATTGCCTGCTGAAGATGAAGATGGTAAAATAAATTATATACATATGCAGTAATACATTCATAAGAATTAATTTTATTCAAAAATACTTTTTTTATTTTTCAGATCAAGATGATAGCTATTCTGTTAAGCATGTTGCTTACTCGCGTTACATTCGTAATCATAGATTAATAAATGAGATATTTAGTGATACTGTAGTTCCAGATGTACGATCAGTTGTAACAACACAGAGAATGCAAATATTACGAAAACAAGTTCTATCATTGACTATGCATCAAGTATGAATTCAGCAATTTTTTCAATTTCTTTTCTTCCCTTCGATTAAGTATTAAAATCTTATTATAAATATTTTTTTTGAATTTCGTTGAAATTTTACTTTTCAGAAAAAACTAGAAGCAGAATTACAGCAAATTGAAGAGAAATTTAGTGCTAAAAAGATGAAGTTTATGGAAGCTAGTGAACTATTTCAAGAGGAACTAAAGAAACACTGTAAGCCAGCTGTTAATGATGAGACGTTTAATAAAATGGTTGAAAGACAATTTGAAGCATTAAAGAAAGAAAGAAGTAAGGGTTCAGAAGAAAACAAATGTCCAGAAGGCCCACCATCATCAGAATCAACTCCGACTTCAACTCCAGCACAGACACCTGCTCCAAATGAAGAATCATCTGCTGAGGTATTATTTATAGTTTTAAATTTGTTGAAATAAAAGTTCATTTTCTTAAAATTATAATTTCACTAAGAAGTGAGAGATTCACTAAAATTGTATTTTTAGACTCCAGATGATGATAAAAATAAAATGGAAATTGATACTCCGGTGGAACCAAAAAAACCAATATCTTCTCCAACACCATCAGAGAATAAAGGGGACACTTCATCACAAAGTAATCCTAGCCCAAACAGCACTCCCAGTCCTTATTCACCCATGAATAATCCACATCAAATGCAAACACCTCTTGCAGGTCAGCAACAAATGACTGGTCCTTCTTCAATGTTAGCTGGTAATTTAAAATTAAAATTTTATTTAAGCATTTAAATATTAAAGTTATTTATTAAAACACTACAATTTCAGGTCAACAACCACACCCTCATCAACCTGGAATGCCAACAGGTAATTTTTAGTTAGTCTTTATCATTTTTAATCATAAAAATCATGAAATTCACATCATAAAAATCACGAAAAATCATTAATATGAAACTTTTTTTATCAGGAATGATGAATCAGCAACAACAGCAAATGGGTCTTCAAACTTCAGCGCAAGCAATGCCACCTCAACCTCCACCAACTACTGCTCCTCAACTAATACCTCCTCATCCATCTCAACTTCGACCTCACATGCCAATTTCTTCAGGTATGTATCATTAAAGTGATTTTTAAAAGTCGGTATAATATCTAATAATAAATTTCCAATGGTTTAGGTCCGCCTACACAACACCCATTATCAGGTCCTCCACAAATACAAGGTGAAAACCAACACCCCAATCAACAACCTCCAACAGGAACAGCCAACAACAGTAACAGCAATAACAACAACAATGGTATGAAAAAGTTATTTATAAATTTTCAATTTGTGTCCTTGAGTCAGTGGGAAAAATAGAAATCTATGTCTTGACTGCAGAATCAAATGGTCAGCATCAACCAATGCCCAGCTCGCTTGGTCCAATGCCCCCTGCTACTTCCTCAAATCAACAATTACCACCTCAACCACCTCAGCACATACCACCACAGCATCCACAGCAGCAAATGATGCCTCCCCAACAACAACATATGACTCCACAGCAACAACAGCAACAGCCATTGCCTCCACATCAGTCGCAAATGCCACCTCCTCAGATGCAACCGCAACAATCAATGCAACAATCTCCAATGCATCAACATCAGCAATCACCTATGTCAGCTCCAGGTTTGTAGAATAATGATAACAATTTTAATTTAATGAGGAATTTTTGTACATAAGAAGAATTGGCACAACTAGTTTACAAAATTTGCACTCTCCAGGACACCCCTTTCAACCGCATCATCTACCCCAACACCTATCTCAAATACCGCAAGGTATTCACAAATAACTAATTATCAATATTAATAATTATTAATTATTAGTTGTAAATTTGGTGTAAATTGAAATTGTATATCTATATTAACTTATTTATTATCTGTATTTCTATTGCTATTGCATAGTAGATTAAAAGTATGATAGTAGAAGTATATGTAGTTAATAAAAAATATAATTAACCAAGAACTTATTAAACAAATAAATAAACAGCTTCTCCTGGCCAACAACCACCAATTCCTTCACCGCAACAGCAGCAGATGCCTTCAACTCAACAGCAATTACCTGGTCAGCAACCACCTCATTTAGCTTCTCAACAACAATCTCAATTACCTCCCTCTCAACAATCAGGTGGTCAAGCTCAGCAACAACCTATTCCACCTCAATCAACTCAAGCCTCTTCAGGTACAAAACGAAATATCAGCTTCACTCTTAATATTTAGAATTGTGTACAGGTTTATTAACATCTTTTGATAATTTTATAGGCCCTAATCAACAGCAAATGCCCCCAATGTCACAAGGCCAATCCATTTCTAGTGGTAAAATATTCGCTAAACTCTCTATAATTTTATTATTCATGAGTAAGATTTTCAATTTTCAATTATTTTTTTACATCAGGTCCACAATCTCAACAATCACCAATGCCGCCATCCTCACAACCTTCATCTCAAATGCCGCCTCATCATCCATCGATGCAGTCTCAACATCAACAACAAATGCCGCCTCAACAGCAGCAAATGCCACCACAACCGCCAATGCCTCCTCAACAGCAACAAATGCCCCCTCAACAACAACAACAGATGCCTCCTCAACAACAACAGATGCCTCCGCAACAACAGCAAATGCCACCTCAGCAGCAGCAGATGCCCCCTCAACAACAGCAAGGACCACCCCAACCTCCGCAAGGTCCTCCTCAACAAGGGCCCCAACCACCAATAACATCTCAGCAGCAAATGACTTTACAACAACAAATGCCTCCTCATCAACAAATGCCTTCTCAACATCAGTCGATGCCTGGACAACCACAAGGACCACCAAGTACATAAAAAACGTTTTTTGATTAAATCATTTAAACCAAAGTATTTACGTAATGATTTCTTTGTAATATAGATACTTATGCTCCATCTTCAACACAAGTACCACCAATGCAATCATCTATGATGAAGAATCAAGCAGCAGCAGCTGTAGCAGCGGCTGCAGTAGCGGCTGCTGCTGCGAACGCGGCTGCTAGTCAGCAACATGGACCTCACCCACCATCCTCACCATCAATGCATTCTGGCGGCCCTCATGGTATGCCACCGCAAGGAGGCCCCATTCACCCGCAACCTGGTGCTCCACCCCATGGACCTCCCCCAGGCATGGGATACCCTCAGCAGTATCAGCCACCTGGTGGCCCTGGACCACAGGCTCAAAGCGTCCCTCTGACTCCACGTCCACCTCATCCGTCATACAATTATCCCCAGCAACAGTATCACCAACCTTATGGTGGATATTCTCATCCTTACTATCATCAACCATATTCGCAATACCCTCCACACGCTATGGCACGGCATCCGCATCCTGGTGTTCACAATCCTTACCATCCTCCCGGTCCCCATGGCGAAAATCCTCCCATGGGAGGACCTGGTGGGCCACCTGGTAATCCTCAAGATTCTCAACAGCCGCAACCGCCTCCAAATGCTGGACCTGGATCATATCCTCCTTCATCAACACACAATGAAAGTGACAGGAGTGGGCCTCCTGAATCGCAAGATTCTCAATCTGATAGTAAATCTGGTTCCGGTTAAATATTTAATGTTGAAAGCAAATTAGTGTACATGTAAAATTAATAGCTATATTACTTAGAGCTTTAAGCATTTAATTTTTTATGTGCTAAATTAATGACAATTAATTATCGATTAATTTTTATGTCGGTAATTAAAAAATTATAAATTTCATAAACGAGTTTTGATAGAATAACAAGTGACAAAAATAACTTCACTCTTTAATATATTAAGAATTATATCTTAATAATTTTAAGGTTGATTGTATTAATTTGTATAATAAGATGGAATCACTGATTTTTAAATAAAAAAAACATTTTCAAGTAAAAATCATCTTTTTATTATCTTATTCATAAAAACTGCCTGAATATTTTTATTAATTATTTCACAGATTTCATCTGCCACAATCCATCATTGAGATAATGGCAGTTTTCTATACCTACTCCTTTGTTGACTTTAGCACTAGAATCAAAAAGAATCATAATTACAGCAAACGTTTAAAAATTTTAAAATTAAATTTTCAATGATTGTAAAACTTACATGTCATCAGTGGATAAAGAAGTAATGCCAATAGCTAATGCGTGCTGCTTTCCTTCAGCCATCACAGCCTGATTTTAAATATTTTAATGAATTCATTTATTGCTCCATTTATGTTATATAATTGAAAATAAAAGTAAATAACTCACAACTACAGTCCCTTTCTCAACTGGAGTCATTTGAGCTCCCTTAGAAGTCAAGCCTGGACACATAATATTGGCACCACTTAAAACGAATTTGATCGCACCTTTATCAACTTGTTGCATTGGTAGAAAAAATGGATCTGAAATTAATATTTTAATAAATTCATTTCTACAATTATCTATATTATAAATATAAAAATCTATTTCAAACTTCATGCTTTACATTTATGAAGTAGTCTGAGTGTTGGCATCCATTGACCATCTCGCTGTCTAAAAAATAACAGTTCACCTGCACTGTTAACCATAATTTCTATATGATCATGGCTGTAAAAAATTAAGATGAGAATTAATTTTCAAATATACAATTAAAAACATTAAATTTTTTAACATTACACAAGTGTCAATAATTTACCATTTTACAAGCCTGAAAGACTCTTTTTTAGGAATAATCTGATCAATAAATTTATCCAAAAATTCATATGTTTCTAATAGTTTTGAGCGAATGCCTTTTTGTACAGAAGATTTCAATTGTTGCACACTAGACACACTGTCTTTCTCATCAAATCTGTAAAAAAATAAATTATAAGATTAAATTATATTTTACTTAATAATAAAATTTACACTCAAACTTAATTCATAACAAATACAATTAGACTCAAAATCTATTACTTTTTAAACATGATGTCTTTTTGTCTGAACACCGGCTTTCTATGAAAGTATATTATCACACGTTAACACTTTGACAGTTAAAAAAATAAGAGTACCACAGAAAACTGATTAATCTGACTAGGATGGCTTAGAGGAATTTGTGTTATTGAATGGAGGTTATGGATTTGAGGCCGTACCCCCTCCCTAGTCTCATGTGCCTTGTCACAGCTGGGCTGAGTATTTTTTACCTTCTGCTCAAAATGATTACTATTCTCATTATTTTGATATTTTGATAAATCATGTAATAATGGACTGAGTGAACTACAATTGAGTTGGACTTTAAATTTTAACAAATGAATCCATTACTATTATTTTTATTATTCTTATATCAAGTTCAAGTCAGGAAAAAAAATAAAGGATTTTTCAAATTTGTCAGTAAAATAAGAAATTTATTTTTATATTTGCATTTGCTTAAACTTGTAAAATTATAGTAATACAATAATTATTTTTTAATAATTCATTAATTGTTTTTCGTTTACTTATAAATATATTTTTAATTTATACCCTTATCAATTATTTTATTATTTATGTTTCTAATAAATATCAACTCATAATTAAAGAATTAATGATTAATTATGCAACAAAATCAAGTGGCCTATTGAAACCACCCTTCCTGTTCATGTATTGTCTATACTTTCTTTTCAGGATGACATGTACAGCTCCAGCATCATTTCCTTCAACTTTCTTTCCTTTAGTGGTGTCAAAGCCACAGAATCCCATCATTTTCATCATCTGCTGTTCTTCAGGAGTTTTTCCAATTAAATCCGCTTCAGACACTGCAGGACGCTCTGCATTTTTCAACTTGGGTCGTGGAGCAGGACGATCCTTGTCCCTGGATCGTGAGCGACTGTAAGAATCTCTTCTGTGCCTGTCCCTGCGGTCATAATCTCTATCCCTATATCTTTCACTATCTCTATCACGGTCCCTTTCTCGTTCTCTTTCAACCGACCTGAAATATAATATGATTATTAATATTTTAGTATTATGATGACACAAGTAGGATGATAATATTTTTCTTCATCAACTAGTTACAAGTTTGAATTAAAGAATATAAAAACATTATTGTAATAATAGTTGATGTAAGTAACAAACTAGTCAAGCTTACTTATAATTATTAATTAGCTATGTTTGGATGTCTATAAACACAAGATATTGCAACTAATTAGCTCAGATTTTTAATACTTTGGAGCGTTGAGTATCTATAATTTAGCATAGAATAGAAATATGCAGTGTGATCCTTTATAGTATAATCAAAACAAACAAATAATGATATTTACCTACGCCGACGATCTCTGGAGCGTCTTCTTCGTCTGTCACGATCACGTTCTTGTGATCTATCGTAGCGTCTACCTCTCGGTGACGGTGTTCTACTTCTCATGATTCGGATTAGTGATCACAAATTTAGATGACAAGTATTTGAAATACTCACTCGATTATTTCCACTCACAAGCAATTTAGCTTATCTTAAATACTGAAGATGGCAATCAGCAGGTTAGAAAATGTAGGAGAAGGCTCTCTAAATGTAATTACTATGGTAATGTAGTACAGCTATTTTGACAATGTACTGCGCTTACACACGTCTGTTACTACTTACTGCGCCTGAACTAAATAACAGATCTTGTTGAGTTTTACATGAAACGCATGAACTTAACTACGGATCATTCTCGATAAATGGAGAGAGTAACGTCTGTTACCTGTGTGGACTCAGGACTGGTATGTTTGATGTTTCAGTCCCCGATCGATATATCGAACTTCGGATAGCGTTAGTGAGCATCCAACTTCAGAGTAGTAGCTACCGCGCGTAGACTTAAATTATAATGTAAAAAGAGTAATATTAATTAATTTATATTACACGTATTTGGCCTTAATTAGATTTAGTTAAATACATCAATTTCAATTGATTTCTAATCAAATGATGCAGTCGAGTCGTTACATTTAATAAACATATAAGAATCATATATAGGTATTTGAACTAGAGAAATGTACAAGTTTTTTTTTCTTTTCTTCTAGGAATTTATCAAGTTCAATTTATTATGTGCAAATAATGCTGTGAAAATCCAAGCACAAATTGACTTAATTCCTCTACATAAGCAATGAGACCATTTAGTTAACTTTTCCTCACTACTAGCTGAGTGCTACAGAACTTAATAATTATTGAAAAATATTAGATGCTCTATTTGATTTTTTGTTGAAATATATTTTTAAAAATTAAAGAAATAGGTTTTAAATAAAAAACATTATTTTAAAATTCATTCAGTATCTTTAATTTTAAAAAAACTTAAAGGAAGAAAGTTCTTGGCTTCCTGACGCTGAATACAGGCATTTGCTTTCTATGTTGAATACGTTTTGGCAGAGGGAAACGAATCTTTGAGTCATGGAACTGAGTGACGTTGGGACGTCTGCAGTCAGCAGCCTTGACCTTTTCCACCTTGATAATTTGGATGGAATGAGCTCTGGCACGATGTCTAGCTCCCATATCACGATAGCACTGAGTTACAGCACCTGAGACTGTCAAGTCTCTGTACTCACGGTACATGTTGTGTGTACCAGATCTGGAGTCATAACGAAGCCAGATTCCAAAATTCTTGATCTTTGTTGGGGTCTTTTCTGACACCTAAACATAAATGTTATTCATTTATTATTATTTGATCAAATTAAAAGAATATGCAAAACAAAATAAATAATTAATAGCATTACCTGTTTAACGGAGACTATTTCACCAGTAGTCTTCTTGAACTTTTTGAGTTGCCTCAAGAAGTACCAGAAACGACTTTTGGCAACAATATGGTCTGGTGCGAAGATTCGCATTTTATAAAGAGGAGTTTCTTTCTCCTTCTCATTGGGCAACTTGCGCCCAATGACTTCATATTCTTTAAGCTGTAACAAAAAATTTAATATTAAGAAACAATGATACAAATAATGAGTAAACGAGATAAATAATTCAACAAAATGTAAACTATATTTCATAAAACACTAGTATCAATTTTCAAGGTTACCAGTATTTTTATTTACAACCGAATGATTTAAATGGAATACAGATAAATTTTATCACAGATTAATAATCCGCATAACCTCCAAAATATAAATTTAATAATCAATTATTCAATGACTCGTTGTAATTACTTTCGTTAATTTAATTTATATTTTATACTAACATGAACGAGAAATGTAATTGCAATTAAATTAAAAAATTTTCACAAATAAGTTAATCTTGTAAATCATAGTGAGTCCGAGCACGTGTAGCTGCCGCAATTGTCACCTGGTTTTGGTCTATATATTTATAATTAATAGCTTTGAAACAAAATTTAATATAATAGACACACAGTAAACTAACTTCCAAATACTGTAAGATGTATTTAATATTTAATTAGGTAAGTAATTGTTGAAAATAATCACTCACATCTCCCTTAGCCCTCATTTTGGCAACTTCGTAAGTAAGAAAGAACTTCCAATCCAACCTCTAACGTGTGCGCAGTTTCTGTATGCTGCTCGGTACAAAAATCGGGTTGGCGGGTAATTGACTCATATTCAAAAATGAAATTTTTTCATTTAATTCCAGAAAATGCACGTTATGAAATTCTGTAGAAACGCAACAAGTTGTTGATTATTAAAATAGTGTAAGCAAATAATTTTTTCTATTGTTCGATTTAAAAATATGTTCGATATTGTTTAGCCAACATTTTATAGCTAGTTACTGGTTGAAAAAAAGAATAAAATTTATAAATCATTATATGGATGCCTTTTTTTGAAGACCTCACGATATCAGCAATTGGAAAAAATAATACTTTTGTGATTATAATAAATAATTAAACAAATAAGGGTGTTGAAATTAGTTAATCATGACTTCAGCATGATTCTGTTGATTTAATTCAAATTTTTTTGGGGTTTATCAGAACTGAATTCTCTCATATTTATTCAAGTTCTCTTTTATCAAAAGAATGTTTATCGGTGCTCATCATTGCAACGCGACTGCGATTTGACAGTTTATAATTTTCCGGGTCAATTTTCGACAACGCCATCTTCTCTTGTTGGTGAAAGATTACGCTGAAACACATAAGCGGCTACAATTCGCGATCGCTGCTGCAGTCTGCAGCGCAAATGATATAACAAAACATTTTTCGCAGTAAGCGCAGTGGAAGGAGCTGCAGCTGTGCGTTCGCCGACGTCGATTTTTGCGTGCTAATATAATCGCTCCTGAAAACAACGACGCGAAGTGTGCCTCGAGTGTTGCTGCTGCTGCGCAAAGAAAGAGCTGTTATTGCTGATTTTCTGCAGGCCAAAGTCCAAGCGTGCGAATAAGAGACAGAGTTCGTGTGTGCCTGCTGCTGCTCGCTGTCTACACAAGCGAGTGCGAATATAAGTGAGGACATAGAACAACAGCTGATTTGCGCAAAAGCTATCTTCTATTATATCGTGTTACACTCGAGACGTGATCGTGTGTACCGAAGCGAAGCGCTTGTGTGGGTCAATTTGCAAAATAAGCCCGGACCGTCTTGCGTGCACGCACCACCCCAGCAATCACTTGGTGGCTGGTGGTTTGGAATCGTCGGGGCCGCAGGCACAGACTAGAGTTTTGACCCGAGATATTACGATTTTCCGTATATAGCTATAGCTGCAGCTATATACAGCACATAAAAGCGTCGCGAATTCGTTAGTTTATCGTTGCAGCGTGAATATATAACTATATCGCTCGGACACGACGACGTCGACGACGACGACGACGACGACTTTTGCTCGATTGAAGAGATTCCAAATTGAGTGAGGCAACAGTCAGTGGAAGAAGAATAGCAGCAGGCGACTGACAAAACAACGTTCTATCAAAAGCTGAATTGATACACTAATCGAGGAAGAGTTAGAAAGGTGAGTAGTAAAGTGGTCATTAGAGATTAGACGGCACGCGGAGGGGGGTGGATTTTTGGCCTTTGGGGGACCCACTTGTGAAGAATCACTTTCACCCGATTGCGATGTAGACATACACACACACAAAGATTGCGCGTGCGAGAAAGAGAGAGATTTGCCGTCTCTTCAACATATACACACTTGTGTAATCGAAACGATGTGTACCTATATCCGTACATGAGCATATATAACGCGGATATATGTATATAAAGGTCAGCAGCGAGAGTGCCTATATCGCGCAAAATAAAATGATCATAGTTCGCGAACCGAGAATCTGATCTCTCCGCAAAAGAGAGCGAGAAAGAGAGAGTGATATTGTATCGTAGCAGCTGCCAAAGCGACATACTCAGAATTGACCAATCAACATCGCGTTATCATCGTCATCATTTATAGCGTATCAGTTAATTAAAGGGGCTTCGTATTTTTGTCCCCAAAAAGTTGATCTCGTGCAAATAGCTCGCGAACGCATGCATCGGACGAGAGACCTGGTGCGCGCGTCTGACACTCAGGTAAATTTCATATATGCACCACCCACGCGCTAATTTTTTTCCCTGTTCACGCTGCTGCTACTGCAGCTTTTCTCCATCGCAGATGTTCGATTCGCGCACGCACACAGATGCGTATATTATTTACGTATAGTAAATACGTATGAATACAATCTTGCATTTGTACTTCTATGCGGATGCCAATGCGTGCGCGTGTATGTGCACGGTAAAGTGAACGTATATTGCATCTAATTACATGCATTGGTCTGCGAATGCCAGACTGACTCATTTTTCTAAGGATTTTGGTTTTCATTCTTATACTCCACTCTCTCGTCTCTGCGCGCGTCTCACTCGTTTCGCGACAAAAGCGTAAAAAAGAAAAATGTGCCAAATTTAGTCCGCCGCTGCGAAAAATTTTTTATATTGACTTTTATTTACGCTCACTTCGTGCAGCTTATTTTTAATGCTGCCAGCTTTGTTCTCTGACTCGCTTTTCTCTCTTTCTCTCTCGTGCACTCTCGGACCATACAGATGCGTGCACTCACAATGGTATAATTGAATTTCTTTACTTTTTTTTTCACGTTTCTTGCGTATATACTGTTTCGGAAGAGTTTACTCAAGGTTGTTTTATTTACGCTAAAATCGTTTCTTTGTCTCGACTTTTTTTTTGTCGTTTGCTACACATGACGACTTTTCTTTCTTGTTTACTCTACACGCGATTGTACACCCAACATCGAATTGATTTTTTATCTGCGACACTGATTTTTCTCGAGTAAGCTGATTGATTTTTGAACAAACTGCTGAAACCAAAATTAGTTGTTCGTCGTTTCAATGAGCGAGTCGTCGTATTATTTATGCGTAATCAAATTTTTAGGCATTGAAAAATGAATATAATCTAAATTTAAATCAATATAATTACTTTCATTCTAATTTTTTGTTTCTTACCTAGGAATCGATCCAGTTCTAAATGAAAATTCAAAAATGAATAACGAAAATGATGATACTGAAGGCCACAGCATAACTGATGTTGAATTTATGCCAGTTGTACCAACTAATCCTTACCTATCTGTGAGCCAACCATGTGTCAATGTGTGGAAGGAAAAATTGAGCAAGGGTATTTTAACAAATACTCATTTCAAAGAACATTGGCGTATATGGGTTCCAAAAATCTACAAACTTCAGCCAACAGACAATTGTCTAGAATGGCAATTTAACGAAGACCAAGCTAGTAAAATACTTTACGGTCCACTTGAAGAATTCATTCTCGGTGGCGAACCTTCTGAAGTTCTCAAACAGCTCAGCCAAAATGACAAACCACCATCTGTGTGCGGACGAGTTTTCAAAAATGGGGAACCCACTTACAGTTGCAGAGAATGTGGGGTGGATGCTACTTGTGTCCTCTGTGTTGATTGTTTTAAACAATCAATTCACAAAAATCATAAATATAAAATGGGTATCTCTGTTGGTGGAGGCTGTTGTGACTGTGGAGATACCGAAGCTTGGAGAAATGGACCATATTGCGACATACACCATGCTGGAATAGAATTAAAAGATGTACCACCCAAGACATTACCTACAGAAATGCAGGAGCGAGCAGCCACAACTTTCACAGCTGTTCTAAGATATTGCTATGATTTACTTTCCATGGAACATAGTCCTAGTTTACCTGCAGACCTTTGTGTCAAAAATACTGATGAAGATTCAGTTTCTTTTCAAGCATCCAACGACACATATTGTACTGTTTTATTTAATGATGAGAGTCATACATTCGACCAGGTAATCGTAACACTTACTAGAGTAATTAAGTGCTCTCAACGTGATGCTATAGAATATGTCACAAATATCGACCGTGAAGGCCGTGCAGTTGTCAAATGTTCAGGATTTCAACATTGTCAAGATTTGAAGGTGGAAATTGAACGCTTTACCAACCGACACAGTAATCGTCCGTTAAAAGTTCTCGTTGAACATTCGCACGTGATAGCGCATCAAATTTTCGCCATGAAACTATTGAGTTGGTTGCAACATTTTATCAGTCACGGCGAAGGATTCAGACGTATTTTCACTGATGTAGCTCTCGATGCGAAGTCACCGGACATACCGATAGCCAAAGGAATTATGGTTAGAGATTGGCAGTTATGGAAAGCTGCTAGAGCGGCTTGGCATCGTCTATTCATCGCCGGCATGCTTACCGAGTACGAAAGCAAAAAGAAACTTTCGATTATGTTCACTAGTAACTACGGCACTGTATTAAAGGACTTCATCGGTGATGATCATGACCATTCATATTCCATTGCATCGTTGGCAGTACAATTATTCACAGTACCCACCTTGGCCTATCATTTGATTGCTCATCATGAAGCACTTTTTGTATTGCTTAATACTTTTTTATCTGAGAGTCAAAGAAAGTGCAATGCGAACGGAAAGCTTGAATTTGAGAGGAACACACCGAATAATTCTTTCAAACGAGCTCAATACATACTGTACGACTTGCGATATCTGCTGAGTTCGAAACCCGATACTTGGTGTGACGAGCTGCGGCGCGGATTCTTATTGGGTATGTCATTACTGTTACAACTGTTCAGCTCTATGCAAATGATGGATGCCGTCGTAAGACAAGTCGGACAACACATGGAATATGAACAAGAGTGGGAGTCAGCATTTAATCTGTACATCAAGTTGTCCCCTGTGATAAGTTTGACCATCGAGTGGTGCAGTACTGACAAATTAGTAATGATAAAAACTCTACGATTGCTACTGAAGAAGATCAAAGATATGTCACACGTCGCAGTGATAACCGCCAAGCGCGTAGCCCATCGCGAAGCAACGTGCATTATGTACGACGTAGCCTCGGAACCAGTATCGATACACCTACCGTTATCGCGGCTACTTGCAGGTTTGCTCTTACACGTCGAGAAATTCGGCCTTTCGCTTTCCAGTTCTGAATTCGAAATTGCCCCACGGCTCGGCGTGGAAGAAATCATCGAGCCAGTATTGCGCGCTCAGGTAATGATATCACAGGTACATGCAGGAATGTGGAGAAGAAATGGTTACTCCTTGATTCATCAACTTTACTTCTATCACAACGTTAAATGTCGAACTGAAATGTTGGACCGCGACATTGTTTTGCTTCAATTTGGAGCAGTTGCGATAGAGAGTAACGAGTTCATAATCCACGTACTCAACAAGTACAATTTGGTGAATTGGGCGCAACCAGAGTTTGAAGAAAAACTTCCAGACTCAAACGACGACGACACTATAAGGCAAACTATTATACTTATTGAAGAATTTTTAGGTATACTTTTTTGTTGATACTGCGTAAACTTAACAACACATTGCAATATTTTCAACTTAATTTCTTTTTATTTTCAGGTTTGATGATAACGATAATAGCAGAGCGCTACGTTCCAGGCGTTGGTCGAGTAACCACCGACGACTGCATGAAGAGGGAAATTATCCAACACTTATGCATCAAACCTCTGTCACACTCTGAGATTCATAAAGTTCTGCCAGACGACATTCATTATGAGACCGGAATGGAGCGAGTAATTAACGACATTGCAGATTTCAAAAAACCTCAAAGCTCCGGGGGTAAGGGAGTATACGAACTAAAACCCGAATTTTACGAAACCTACGACGTCTTTTTTTATCATTATACGAAAGAGGAATTGAGCAAATCGGAAGAAATACAACGAAAGCGACGAAAGAACGCTGGTCAGCTCGAGTGCTGTCCACCTCCGCAGCTACTTCATTTAACCGAAATGTTTACGCCCATCGTAAACCTACTACAATGCGACGTTATGCTGTCGCTTATGCGCCTAATTTTGTTACGAGCCCTTGATTTCAAAGCTCGAAGCTTTTCTGAACCACAAGTGCACAAGATACTGCATCTCATTGGTTACGCCTTGCAAGAGCAAGAGACGGGACGTTATCCTTTCTTCAATTTTACCGAAAAAGCTGAAGCTCAGGAAATTTTCAAGTTACTGGAATCTCTAAAGAGTAGTGTGAGAATTGATGCTCACAAAGATCTTCTTCTCTGGGTCCTTGAAAAATATAGGAAAATGAGTGGTTCCCCCGATATGAAAAAAGAGCCAGAAACACCAGTTTCTCCAAAACTTGAAGGAGAGGATGCAGACGCAAAAGTTGAGAAAGGTATGATGGTCTTGTTAAGAAAATAACGATATCATTATTTTTTTAATTTTTAACTCGTTTATATGCTATTTTTTTTATAGGAAGTCAAGAATGGCGCAACAAGATGGCAGCGAAAAAACGTGCCCAAATCATGGCTCAGATGCAGGCAGCTCAGAAGATGTTCATGCAGCAAAATGCACAAATTTTCGAAGAAGCGGCACTTTTGGACACAAGTAATAAGAGTTTACAAGGGCATGGCTCAGCGATGGATCTCAGTGAAAACTTAGACGATACATACGTTGCATTGGGACCGCGACAGTCAACCCGATCTACCCAAGAGCGCACGTTCACGTGTATTTTATGTCAAGAGGACCAACCTATAACACTGGCTCATGGGTCAGCTATAGTAAGGGCAGCTTTTGTACAACAATCTTCCGTACTTTTCCAAAATCCACAAACTCCCACGATATCTGCGACGGCGACGGCGCCGTCGACATATCAAGAGCCAACTGCGTTGTTTCTGTCATCTCGTCTCGGTCCTTCTCCTCATACAAGTACTTGTGGACACACTATGCACGTTGTTTGTTGGCAGAAATACTTCGATAACGTGATGGCGAAAGAGAATCGACGTCCTTATCGGCTTCGCCAACCAAACAGCTTTGATATTGAGAAGTCTGAGTACTTATGCCCACTATGTGAATGTCTTAGTAACACTATACTACCGGTTTTACCGACTTTAGCCATAATACAGCCAACCGTACAGTCACAACGCGAAATAAGCTTTGATAGATGGTTAGAAATCATGCAAGCTGTGGCCAAATGCCGGGGTATTCGAGATACAGCACCAATGGAATGCGATGTACATGATCCTGAATGTCGGTACTGCCGATATTTGGCGCAAGGGCTACCCATAACAGATGATGGCGATGCCAATTCTCTCAAAACTGAAGCTCCAAAGCCTGCTCAAATTCGATCTTGTCCTATAGAAGTTTGTAAATCGTTTGAAGAAGGAGACGAGTTATTACGTCTCTACAGCCAATATGGGCCCGTGTTGTCCGAACAACTTGTTAACATGATTGGATTGTACGTACAAACTACTTTCACAAAAGGTTTGAGTTTGAACTTCAATGCTGTAGATACACGGGTGCCATTGCTGGCATGGAAATCTACTGCATACACTGTACACGCTCTAGAGTTTCTATTGCGCGAGACAAAGAAGCCTCTTCTAGGATCACTTTCTTCCCGCCAACACGATACTTTGGAATGTTTGGCCAGGGTAAGCTCTGTTCTGGGTTCTACTTGGTTGACCCCAAGCATCCATGCAGATTGTATATCCGAGGATGCATTAAGAATTCTAAGTCTGCTTCTAAACAATGCTGAGAGTGATTACAGCATTCTGAATTGGGACTCCTTTGGATTATTGGTAACTCTGATTTCCACCTTATCCAGTTTATTAAGCACTTTGAAAGATGGGAGATTCTCATGCGTGAGTGGACACGTAGGTGACTGGCACACAGTTAGGCTCGTTTTCATCGCTCATATTGTCAAAATTTTGCTCACTTTAAATTTGGATGAAGACGTACCGATGGATACTGAAAATGACGACGAAGAAATAATCATGGACGTCGAAGAGAAGGCAGCAGAATCTTTGTTACCTCTAATGGAACGCTTGAATTTGTCCTGTGGTAGATTCACAGTCGGACAAGTTTGGAAGCGCGTGAAGCAAGCTTGCGCGCCGTTCTTACGCTGCTGTACCTTGTATTTCCACTTCGTGACCGACGTTGCTGTCCCGACAGAACTGACCATGATGCACGGCGATACGTACGAAAATATGTGCCGTTACCTCGGCATGCCAGAAACCTGCAATGAACTCCTCGATTCACAGGTAGTGAGGGATCTAGCGGCCAGTTGGATACAGCATCCAGCCCTCAGCGAAGACAAAATCAACTGCGTGAAGGAACCTCTCAAAATTAATAGATTCGTCGATTTACCCGAAGACTATAGCGAACTTATGAACACGGTATCGATGTTCACTTGTCCAAACAGCGACAAAGAGGACTCGAGAAACCCGACCATGTGTCTGGTTTGTGGTGCGATGCTGTGTTCACAAAGTTACTGTTGTCAAATTGAGCTGAATAAAGTCAATGTCGGAGCTTGTATACATCATGCCCATACGTGCGGTGCAGGAGTTGGCGTCTTCCTTAGAGTAAGAGATTGCGAGATTGTTTATCTGCGTAGTCCTAACAGGGGTGCTTACCAGTGTCCACCTTACTACGACGAGTATGGGGAACCTGATCAGGGTCTGCATCGGGGTAACCCTCTCAAGCTATGCAGAGAAAAGTATCAGATCCTGCACCAGACGTGGCTCAGTCATGGCGTATACGAGGAAATCGCTCGGCACGTTGATGCTCAATCGCAAACCGCCTCGGGCTCCTGGCAACACCTGTAAAATAAAAAAGAGGAATATCTATTGTTGTCTTAATTACTCGCTTTCTTAACATTGGTTCGATTCATATTTTTTGGGTAGTCTTTTTTTTTGTTATCAGAACTGAGTAGTGCTACAAAACTGCATCTTATCGAGTGTACAGCAAAAACCGCTTGATTATCTCAAGTATGGTCGTGAAGAATTCATCTTGAAATTTCATCTCAGCGTGAAAATTTTTTTAAACTAAAAATAAAACGAGAGCTTGCGGATATTAAGTGAACTCTATCCACCGCTTTCATTGACAACATAAAAGATATAAAGATTTAAACAAGTTGTATATTTTATTATTAAAATTAATTGGATATTATATAGTTAAATATTATCGTTAAGACCATTTTTCAGATTGTTTTCAAGTTAACTGGTCTTACTTAGAGCAAATTATAATTTTTATTACAATGAATCATTTCTGTATTAATATTAAAGACATTAGAGTTTATTAGGAATATTTTAACTTTGTCATTTAAATGTGATGTGATTGCCATTTTTGTAAATTTTTAAATAATTACACTTTCGAAACAGGTAAATCATAGTCGATTTGCGACGAACAATTTTTCTGGCGATCAGGGCTACAAGAGTGAAATTTTCAATAGGAACATTTATGTTTGATTGCAGTAATGCTGCAAGATTAATACAAATTGATAATTTTTTGTGTTCAATAAATGATAAAGAATAATGTTCTTTTACTGAATGTGAATTAAAGTTTTTAAAAGTATACAATACATTTATCATCATTTTTATTAAATGAGAAATCTTTTGATTCTTCATGATTTGATCCTCATACTTTATCCTGGTAATCATTGAATAATATTTTGAGTTAAGCTGAGTTTTGTAAATATTTAAAATTTATTATGAATAATTGATATTTATTATTTTATTTTTAATTATAGTACATCTGTAAGAGAATAGATGGGTATTACCCTTTATGACATAAAAATTACAAAATTTTCAAGTATATATAACATACTTATGTACATATAGACTGGCATTATTAATAAAAGAATTAATTATATACATTTTGTAACATTAAATTATTTACATTGATATCCTATTGCACATCATTCACTCATAGGCAAAAGAAAATATTTGTTTTAAAAACAACAGAAACTTAATGTAACGTATGTATTATAATTAATCTAAGGCGTCAGTAAGGCGTTGATACGGTAATTACGAACCATTTCATCTACATCGTGGAGATTTATTTCAACCGACGTTCGAGTCGATTTGATGATACTTTTGACCATCTTATCAAAAAAGTCAAGATGCGATGGATTCTCTGAATACCTGTCAAATTGATCCAAATTATCTTGCAGTTTCAAAGTCAAGCTATCGTAATTCTGAATTATTATTTCCATAATCTGATTCTCAGAGGGTGTTGATATGTTTTCTTTCTTCAGCCATTCCGTAATTTTTACCAAAAAGTGCCCAAGAATGTCACGAATATTGGTCAGAGCATTAGTTAATTCAGAAGCACTTTGTTTGTATTCGTAAGTTTCGCTATTGGCATATCTTAGAGCCATTGTATTGAGATTTGTAAATATTAGTTTCATTCTGATAATTTCATAAAACAGCTCGTCATATGTGTGAGGAGATAAAAGAAAAGTGTCCCCATATGTTACAAATATGTTGAAGATATTAACTACTTCAGTAGCTAAAGCAAATATATTCATTTTTTTGGCCAAATGATTTTCATTAGATGTTAAAAACTTTGTGAGGTTTATTAGAACAGTCCATAGATTTAACCATTGATAATTGAGTCTAATTCTGCATCTCTTTTGATAACAAACTATCCTTAACAGTATGCCAATGCATTGATGATATAATTCCAATGGGAATTTTTTCATCATATGCGATGCAACAAATTCAACTATTAAATCCAGAAGTGTAGCTGCCAATGGTTGAGAAATTGTTGCTATATTGTTTGCTTTTCTATGATGCATCTGTACTCTATGTAAAGGTACTCTACAGGCTAAATTAGCATCATGCATCAAACTGTTGGCATACTGATCTTCAGAAATACAACTTAAAATAAGAAAACACATTTTGACATTATGCATGATTGTCTCTGTATTAGTTCCTTGAATGGCAATAGAGCAGTACTGCAGAAAAATGGCTAATAAATTGAAAGGTTGATTGGTACTATCAAGTACTGGAGATCCAGAATTGGGTTGTTTTTGGTTTAATCCTTCTGTTGAGCTTGCCAATGATGTGTCAGTTTGAGTGTAGGCAAGTGTTATAACAAAGTTTCGATTAAGATGAGTTAATTCATACAATGCTAAAAGTAACGGATTGTTTTCTTGAATTAATTGAACTTTACTTTCTTCCTCTCCAGCAAACATGTTACCTATTATACTACCAAGAGATGAAAACCATGATGTGTGTGTGTCAGAATGGAATTGAGTAAATTGCTTGCAAAATTTAGATAAAGAACTTGATATAACTTGACTGTATCCATTTAAGGCGAGTTCATCGTCCAAAATTGATAGTTTAACTATAAAAGGATTTGCATTTTCATATTTTCTGTAATTAACTAGTAGAGTCATGACTAGAACAACATCGTAACCAAATTGATTTCTCATAGGCGTGTCTCTCAAAACATCAATCAGAGACTCAAATATAGAACTGTTGATAATATATTCTAACAATGAATTCTGATTAATATTATCTAATCCTGTAGCAATGATCAAAAATAACTTGATATATGCAGCTTTGAAATTTAGTGAGTATTCTCCAGTCAAAAAATTGTTACTGTGCTGCACAAACAAAGTCATTCTTTCTTGCACATTATCTGCACCAAAAGCAATATCTACAAAATCAATGGGTTTTTCTGGTTGGTTAGCTTTCTTGTACAAAGTAAACATGATTGCAGAAAGGGTATGCATTGCGTACACAACTCTGTAACCATTATCATCACCCAGAGCATTGATGCAGTGAGATATCAGTAAACGAATCCTTGACTTGCATTTTGACAAATTTTCATCGTTTAGTCGAATAATTTCATTCTCCAAATAAGACACCTCGGGTTTAATAAGGAAAAATTCGTTCCAAAAATTGGCATGAATAAAACTGTCATCTTCAGCTCTAAAGAGACTCTCGTACATGGTGAGCAGTTTTCCTTTGTAAGAGCGATTCGCTCCGAATTCGCGTTTCTTTGAGGCCATGATCTGAAAGTTATATATTAACAGAATTAATTCACAGTATACATTAAATATTTCTTTAAACATAATAAATGAATTAATTCGAGCAAGTTTATTTACGCATATGCACTTGTGCAGAACTATCTGCCGAAGCAAAATAATATAAAAGGATATAAGCTTGAGTTATAAAATTACTTGATTATTATACAATTAAGAAAAAAAATAACCCAAAACTAACTTCGGTTATTGCAAAAGCTTTAAAAACTGTTCATCCTTTAGATTTCAGCGTCGTCGCCAGTGTGACTGCACAGTAGTCGCGATGATTACTAAGACGAAAACTATGTATCAGCCCGATTGTCCGATTGTAGGTTATTATCGTGCGCTATATGGAACGTTTTAACTCGTGTCATTAGTATATGGTTCATTCTGCAGAATTCGACTTAATTGGCAATGTCAACTAGTTTACCTCGTTTGAAACATCAAACTTGTAGCAAATATTGAATCTGAAACTTGAACAGATCGTTTTGCACAAATTAAGTACAGTTTTGTGATTAAAATTGATATTTTATGCTTTTACCGTGGTGGCAAATCGGAACTTTTATTGGAATAATCGTTACGTTGAAAAAATAAAAAGTAAATAAAATTTCCGAATATTCCGAAATTCGAGCTTAAAAAATGAGCTTTTTGATACCACGAATGATAAAAAAAGTGATTTTAACTCCAGAATTTTATGTTAACGTTGAAGTGTAACAGTTCGATTAAGGAAACCTAAGAAAACTTTGCACATCTTTCTCGAATACGGAATTGGGAAGAATTCAAAAATATGGAATGGGTAGGGTACGTATAGGTGTTGAATTATTTGCATTAGTTCAAGGACGTGGCTTGTGGACCCTAATATAAATCAAGTTGAATTTTTGAGAATGTACCATATACCTTTCGCAAGGCGCATTCATAATCTGCGCGCGATATCAATTAGCTGCTTAAATTTTATTAATAAAAGTTCACTGTAATGAGTTTTTTTCTATGAATGAGAGATTTAAAAAACAAGCGCATTTGAGCGTTACGTTGAATTATGAGAATAATACCTTTAAACGGTGCATTAGAATTGTTTATTTAACATAGTTAACTTAATGTTTGAACGATTTCACGTTGATTTACGGGACAAATGCTGTGACAGTATATAAAGTAATAAAAATATACTGTGACAGTATATAAAGCATAACATAATTTGGTTTCGCGATACGATGCGACGACTCGATGAAGAGAATTAGAAACTTCAAAGCAACGCGAGACATTCGATTCCGATGCGGCAGCTGCAGTGCGCCACGCCGCACCATGGTCTCAGTCCTTGCTATGCAGTCGTGAAAATCTCTTTGCCGATTTGAACGCGTGCTGCTGCTGCTGTTGCTGCTGCAAATGGGCTATGTGCAGCGCTTATGGCTAAAGGCAGTGCATATATAGGTACACGCAGAGAGGCTACAGCTCACACAATTCATCGGCGTGCAGTTAGGATGTAATAAGTAAGCCGCGACGTGCGCCGAGGTGGGAGAAGAAATCACTCGTCGTGATCTTCGTGGTCGTCATCACCGCCGCCGCCGCCGAGTCCCGCCGCGCGACGACACAACCCAGCGTAAAAAGGTGTGTTTCTACTCGCGCAGGTACTCGCGACAGTCTCTTTAAACTCGCCTGATCCTTCGCGACGACGGCGACGACGAGCAGCAGGTGTATAAGTTGCTACATACCTGCTGGTAAAATAGGTACGTCAATGCGCGAATAGGAGCGAATATACGAGCTATGCATATATGTACGTTATACGTAGGCGAACGCGCCAATGTGTGCGTGAAGGAGCTGCCAGAAAGGAAAGACGAGGAATTTATAATCACGCGTATACGCGGCGGGCCCCTGTAGCATAGAATAATACACAGGTTGACGACGAGGTGGTGGGGGAGGAGAACGCGGCGCGTGTTTCAATGTGTCTGTGTCCGTATGTATGTGAGGCTGAGCGCGCGTCGTTGGCGAGGAGGCGAAAAAAAAGAGAGCCGCGGCGCGAGAGGGAATATACGACGAGGCAGGCAGGCCTACGTGGATCGCCGCCGCCGTCGCCGCAGTTGCGAGCATACCGATGTTACCTTAAAGCTCCGCGCGCCTGCCTACTACTCCGTATATATCTATATACATTATATACACCTCAATCCGATATATCTATAATAGGAGAGCCGCTCGGAGCTGCCGACCAGTAAGCCGCTCTCGCCTGCTGATCTCGAGTCGATCGTGTCGGTGCCGCGCGTTCTCGCGATCGCCTTCGTTATATAGCACAACACAACAGTTCGGAGTCGTACTCGGACTTGAAGTACGGAGTCTCGCGCGAGCCGCATGCAGTGCTCGGGCTGAACTGCACGCGCCAACATCGCCGCGAGTGTGTATGTGTGCGAGTGCCCTGTAGTACTGTTGGGCCTGTATAAAATATAAATATATATGTGCAGTGTGTGCGTGTGCCCGAGCGACAAGTTTTGATGCAAATTTTCACACGAAACAATAAGTCGGAAAAGAAAACGGTAAGGAGAGATCATCGTTGCAGTTTTGCTCTTTAGCCTATGAATACGATGATAATGATACACGGTCTCGGATCATAAGTCTATGAGACGTCGTGGCTGATGGATATCATAAATTTGTCACTCAGCGACGACGGATTTCCCCAGTCGTCTTGTCGCAATTGTTATCGTGACAAGAATTCAAGATCTTCGCTGTGCGACGTTAAGCTATCTTCCGTATAATAGTGTGTCTGTGCCCGAATATAATAAAATAATATACAAAATACAACGTGTGCGTGTGCAGATCGTGCCTATTGCCACTTGTTGAGTGTGTGCTGCGCCTGGCATGCATGTGTGTTAAGTTTTACCTATATAAAACGTATATAAATGTGTGCGCGAAGAATCTCTACAGTATCGTAAGTAATATCCTCCTCCTCTCGCACTGATTCGCTCGTCATGTATGTACACGAGAGCCGAGGCGCTGCCATACCTGTGCCCGTGTGTAATGTGTATACACCTATAAGGAGCTTTGAACTCCATTTTTCAAGATCATATGTTTTCTAAAATCGGAGCCACGGAATTATGTATAGTAGCCGCTCGATCGGCTTACCGCCTATAGCTCCTTATGTATATTTTGCTCGGTGGAATGCGCCTCCGATACCATAACATACCTACACACACACACACACACACACACACACACATACGCAACTCGGCAGCAGTTAGCAGTACGTGTAGGTACGTCGGGTGCTGTCTCTCTTTCTCTCTCTCTCTCTCTCTCTCTCTTTTCTTTCTCTCTCTCTCTCTCTCTCTCTTTTCTTTCTCTCTCTTTTTTGTATATACGTGTATGCGCTCGCGTGTTAGTGTGTACATCTGCGTGTATATGTGTGGACGTATCATCGAGTTCTCCCAGAGTTGCGCTTAGGTGTATACAACACATAGAGTCACGGCACAGACCACACCATCACACTACCGACACACAGGTATATTACTCGCGTCCGTACGAGTGTATGTGTTTCTACGTGTGTATGTGTGGGATACGGGCAGCATACAGCAGGCTCTGCAGGTATATATGAATGTATATATATGTGGGTACAAGATCGCGCGAGTATTTTGTGGGAGGGGAAAGCGCGCGAGTGAAATTCCAAAGAGCCGCCTGATATCTCGCGGTGCGCACCTCTAAGCCTCTATTTTATGCCTATCCTTATGTGTACCTACCTGCTGCTGCTGTATTGCTGGTCCCTATTTATACCTATATGTATACATTCATGCCACACTCGTACAGACCGTTAAAAAAGAACGTTTCAATCATAATTGTCTTCTGCCGCGAATGCATTTATTGCTTCACAGGCGAGTGTCGGTCTTACCTGCATAATAACGCGCGTAACCGATCGAATAGGGGCAAACGTGCATGTATTATTTTATTGATTCTGTCATCGGCAGCTGTACCGTTCAGCTGACACAATAATATTATGTGAGAGCTGCCGTGCGGTGCGTCGGTGCACACATCTTCTAACGTAACGCGTATATAGCAAAGAGAGAAGTGAACGTTGGCGCGTCATTCCCAAATACTTGTGGTGTATAAAATAAATACTCGCATCGCGAGAGAGAGAAAGAAAGATGTGCTGCTTCTACCTGCCGTCCTCGATTGAGGAGGTATGCGCATGTTGCCGCTGCTGCTGCCGAGCTCGTAAAATGCACGAAACGATTCCTGGCAATTCTTTTATTTATTTATTTTTTCTTTATTTTTTTTTTATTTTCATTATCGGCCTCGAGAGCCGAGCCGATTTAACGGTGCCTCGGCGAGATACACACATGTACATGCAGCGGCAGCAGCAGCAGCAGCAGCTTATCGCTTGCGGTTCGCGACACTTGCTAATACCTGTCAAAGAGAGTAAAAGAGATAAAACTTGATTTTGTGCGCCGCCTGTTTGGCCTGCGTGTGCGAGGCTTACATACGTACTCTATAAATACTCGATATGTATTATTTTGCACTGATAATTGCCAGGGTTACGCAATGTCGTCACGCGTGCACGCGCTCATAAATGTGTGTCTATATCACATCCGCTGACTTTTACAATCCGATATGATGTATCGATTTTCAATCCGTTCGATATACATGTACGTCGCTCTAATTTGTGATTACAATGTGTAAAGCACGTACTCTGCGCCGTGTATAGCGCTGCGGCGGATTATTGTTGTTATTGTGTGTCGTGTGGGTGCTGTTGCTACTGCTGCGCTCTTATCGCCGCGCGCGCTCATGATTCATCGCATTTTTTTGCCGCTGTTATTTATCGCGCAAATCTTACGCGTACACCGACATTTCTTATTTCGTATCGCGGCAGACAATTAATAAGAAAAAAATAAATAAAACAATCGAGCTATTTCACATTTTGTAGGTGTATGTATATTGTAAAGTCGATGATTTCTTTCTCTATGTACAACGCGCGGTGCGCACGCGAATAACTCGGAATAAGACTTTTCTCTCCTTTCCAATGAAATAGCTTGAGCGCGCGCGTATGTGTGTAGCCAACTTTACACGCGTGTGCGCGTAAAAGAGAAGAGAAACGACGAGATCCTATCCTTTAATGTATTATATACATGCTTTATATGTGTTTATACGCGTTACATACACGCGGTGGTGTCTGTGACTAGTCTTCGAAAAAAAAGGAAAAAAAAAAGAAAAAAAAACTTTCACTCGGCTTGAGCGACTTTTCTCGTGTTCAAGCAAAACTAATTTTTTCCTCATTCCTCGTTCGATGGGCTAACGTTATACCTATGTACGTTATGAAAGTTTATATATGTTAGCTGTAATACGCAACGCGTCGTTTATCTGTGCAGACGACATTTGTAACGTGTGACCGGAGGAGATCGAGCGCACGAGGAAGACGATTCGAGAAAATACCATTAGAAACGAAAGCTATCCGCGTGCAAGCGAGAGATTCTTTTGGTCAACGATCCTCTCTCTATCTCTCTCTTTCTCTCTCGTGCACTCGGACGATTTGCCGGTCGACTGTCTCCTGGCGCTACATGCGTGTTTTTGTATATAGTACGTACGTAAGCGTCCGCGAAAAGCCCATGTATACACGTGCGCTGTATATAGAAGGCTCTGGTGGTGCGCGATGAGAAAGTAACATCCTATCTGTTCCAAAGCTGGCGTAGAGGCAGCCTATTGTCTTCTTCGCGGCTTAGACGAGATAAAAACTGCTCCTCGACGATTTCCTATCGCTTGCGTTCTCGCTTGGCCCCCGCGCGTATATATAACTGTAAAAGGTAATTGCGCCGTTTTCGAGAAACAAACAAAGAAGCTGTACACAAAAAAACGAGTCAATACGAGATATAGTATCATCATTTCCATTCTGAAATTTTGACGCGAGTGACGCCTCTTGGAAGCTAATCGTGTGAAACTGACTGCTGTGTATAATGCGGTACGCGGGGAAAATGTCACTCTGTGTACATACGCACGAAATTTTGACGTTGTCGCGCCACGCAAGAGTGACACACGTCAACTAAAGCGCATGAGATATTATTATTACCCGCGCTTATTTCGTCGTAAAAAAAGCTACCATATAGTACGATCTCTCTCGGTGCGCCGCAGTCAATGCACTGTATATTTTATAATATTCCAATTTATGCGCTCGCGCCGCGTCGCTTTAAGCATGGCGGCGGACCCATATGGAATTCCAGTACTACTATTTACTACTACAGCCACTACTACTCTCATTGGGAATGCCGCGCCATTCACTCGCGAGACTCGACTAACTGCTGCCGCTGCTGCTGTTGCTGCTTCGGCTCCCGAGACGCACACACACATGCATTATAGCACGAATGCATGTATCGGATGCTGCGCCACGTACAGATATATATTCTCTGCCGATCGACCTCGAAATTCCTGGCATTATTAACCGATTCCCATCATCGTACACGCGCGCACGGAATTAAAACTCCCGAAGCCTCTATCTATAAATATATCTATATCTGTACGGCTACCGATCCCTGTATAGCTGCCATTCCTTCAAAACGGCAACATTTTTGCAAGTCCTTTTTCTTTTTTTTTCTCTCTCTCTCACTAGCTGTATATATAAAGAAAATCTGGTGTAATAGGCGTACATGTATGTACCGTAAACACGCATAAAGCTCGTGTGTGTATGTGTACTGCGAGTACGAGAGTGTTGGAGCGCTCCGGCGCGGCATGAAACTAGCAGTCGTGGTTGTCGAGAGCACAAATTACGTCATGTTGCATTCCTCGCGACTCGTTTGCTGCGCTCTCTGCTTCGCCGCTCTATACCTGCACTTTTCGTTCACATGTGTGTATATACATACTGCACGTACATGTGTGCACGTGTGAGTGTGCGCGAACTCTTCGAGGAGTACCTCCTCTCTTTCTTGCTGTATACAGTCTTTTTTCTTCGCGTGCATTCGATAAAGGCTCTCTGCATCGGTAGCAGCAACGCACGCTTCGAAGGCGTGTCCTGTTTTAGTTCTGGCCGATTATCGGCTAGCATTTGAAATTGATATTTGCGCGATATGCGCGTCGCGCATAAGAGATCGGCACAAGATCGAGTTAAGATCGCTCCGAAGAATATTGTGCAGCGGATCGGAGCGCATATGCGTATAATCCAAGGGCCGATCTCGCTCGCACAGCTCGAATAGCGATCTGGATTCTCTCGCCTCTCACGGAATGTCCATTGAAAAGATTGTGTCGCGTTAATGACTTTTGGCCGCGCGCATAGCTTGTCGCGCAAAATAGTTATCGGTCGAGGCGTGATAATTGTTTGCGAGAGAAATCACTGGCGCAGCAGGCTTCCATTGAACCGCAGCAGCTTAGTCACGAGACGCATGCGCTAGTTGCCAATCCGGCTCGTAACTCGTTTGCATTATGCGTTGCATATATCGTACCGATTCTCTCTCTCTCTCTCTCTCTCTCTCTCCTTTCGTTCCTCTCGATATTTCTGCCGTGCGACGACGATGCGGCGTGACTTTCATGCACGCGGTCAACATATGTCAACGCGCTTCGTTATTGTGGCTCGTCATTGCCGATCGTCTCGTAAGAATGATTTCTACGCTCCGTCCTCGATCGTATGTGACTTCGAAAGCACAATTAAGAGACAGAGCCCCTTGTAATAAACCTTCGAGTATTATCCTCCTAATTTGTAATTTGAAAATGTTTCGTGTCTTCACGCGTATATGGTGTGCATTGGGTATGTTGTATAGAGAGAGAGTATGCAGACCGATTTCAACTCATTGTACATACTCTAATTAACGTATTTTAATAACTGATACAGCAAGGCACTCGTTCGCACTTGAAACAAACAATACAAATAGGTGTATACATACACACACGCGACGCGTTGGCAGCTACGTAGAGACCTTACACCGTTTGTGGCTTATGTATTAAACATATAGACATTCTTATGCTAAACGGAATGAAAAAAGTACAGCTAGACGGCCATCGATACGTGTACGTAGGCATGGACGCGAATATTATCTACCTACCTGTATACACGTGTTAGTAGCCTATGTGTGTGCTGCTGCTTCGTAAGTTTGCAATCCGTACGCGTATACGACGAAATTATTGCGCGTGAAATTTTGCGAGCTATTTTTCGGTGTCGCCTCGCGCTACGCCTTATATACAGCTAAGTTTGCCTTTGCACTTGACGCACTCGACGTTGCGCCGCGATCCACGCCTTTTCTCACGTTCCAGCGGCTGTTCACACGGCAGGACTGTGAGCTTTTCTCGATCTCCGCATCTCTCTCGGCTCTATTTACGTATAGACACGTACAGATACACCAGTACACACACACGTAATATTACGCGAGACTTTCCAATTGAGAAACTGCATCGGCTTGAATCGTCTACGATGACCGATTAAATCGATATTTCCCTCGCGTGTATTATAACGCGTATACATAATATAATATACATTCGCCGGTGCGAGCTGCTCGATGTACCGTAATATCACAGATTCTCGTGACTTTCTTTTCCCTCGCAAACTTTGACATATTGATGAATCGATCGCTATAAAAATTTGCTTTCTTCGAACGGATAAATTCGATTTATGAAAATTAAACGACAGTGACATCTTTCGTATTGAAATCCCTGAGAATATCTGAAATATTTCCACTTGACTCGAAAAAATAAAAATCTGATTAAAAATCTGACGAGAGCATCGGGTCGACGTTTTCTTTTTCTTTCCTTATAACCAATTTGAAAATGACTCGGATGATGGATGTTCGACCTGTGTCTCGGTCGTTCAATGCACGACTCCGTATGTGTATGAACGCCTGTGTGTATGTTAAGCCCGTGTATGTGTGCGCGCGCGCGCGCGCTAAGGTCATTGAGTAATCAAACCTGTTGATCCTTGCTCTATTCAAAAGATAGAGCTTGGAATGCAGAGAGAGGCCATTTTTTCACTCTCGATATCGTCGATTTCTATACGGCGCGCGGCTCAGGAATTTGCAAAATTACATTCACTATATACCACGGCGTGCGGCAGAAAGATTGATCGAGCCATTTAATCTGTTGCAGCCTCGAATAGCCTGGACTTAGTCGCAGATACTCAGAATGCCTTATTACAATTCGCCCAGCCATGGAAACTCACACTACAGCAAGGGTAAGTTTTCCCAAACATTCTTTTCCACATTTGCGGCGTGAAATCGAGAATTTTACGAGAAGAAGAAAAAAACAACAATCTCATGCGTGTGTTGCGTTTCTTCTGGGAACGGACGAAGCAGAAAGCGGACCGGTCGCTCCGAGCCAGAGCGCCAGATCGTCGGCTACCGAGGCGACCTACGTCATGGAGCACTTGGCCACCTTCACCGTGACCAAGGAGACGGGCATCGTCTATCCGGCCGACGGCATGCGACGCCTACTCCAGCTGGAAAAGTCAAACGGCATCTGGAGCCAAAAGATGCAGCTCCGACTCGAGCGCAATTGGGTTCTCATCATGGACCACGAGAGTGGCGTGAGTATACAACATAATGTCATTGATTTTTGTCCGCGTCGCGTCGAATATCATGGCGCACACGCAATTAAGCTCGGCGACGCCGCGTCGAGAGAACGAGAGAAGAGGAGGTAAAGCGGGTTGCAAAATAGATTTTTGCGGTGAGCCATCGTCGTTGCCGCCGCCGCCGCCGTCGTGCAATGACATTTATACGAACTCTGTGTGCGGTATACATATATGCCACGCGGCGTCGAGAGCTCCTACGCTTTCTAATGCCTATATATGCATGCAGGCGCATATACGAGTGCATAGCTATTATATACACTGCTCGCTCATAAAAGTATAATCTCGCTCTCTCTCTCATGCAAAATAGTCGCGTATTATGACTAGCGTACGAATGCCGCGATCTGCCTGTGCTTTTGCTCGCTTTCGTCATGTGTCGCCTATGTAACGTTAAATCTTGCACCGTCTGTCACTCCTACACACGCGGTGCCGCTCGCAAGCGCATTATTTCTTCGAAACGCTCGTCCAAATAGCTCCGTAATTCATGGCCCCGCGCATACCTGTACGGAGACACGACTCTAATTCCTGTGCCTTTGCTCCATTTATCATAGGCCGTGATGGAGCGATTTCCAGCCGCGATGATCCAGGAACCCACGGCCTTCACGTCTCGCGATCCCATGGAGATGTACAACAACATCCTCGTGTTCACCGTGACGGACGATCCTAGTCTGCCGGCGCAGCAGCAGCGCGCCGAGATGCACATATTCCAGTGCCAGAGCGTCTCGGCGCAGGACCTCGTCGAGGACCTCAAGATGCTGCAGGCCGGAAAGATGCTGCCGGCCCCGGTTGGCTCGGCCTCGCCCACCTCGTCGGCCGGTCCTCGTGGCGCTCACATCCCGCCCCCGCCCACGCTACCGCCGCCCGAGCCACCGCTCAACGGCATGGGCTCCAGAGACGGCTTCGCCTCGCCCAACAGTGAGTCCCTGATTTCTCTCTCGGCTCCGTGCAACGAAATTCGAGCCCAATTGGCTAAAGCGAGTTTCGCTCTCGTTTCAGGCGAGGAGCATTCACACCACCATCACCATCACCCGGCTCACGGGGGCCACTCGCAGCCACCGCCGCACCATCATCACCATCACAGCGAGGCCGAAAATTCGCGCGACGAGCAGAACGACGAGGTGTCCTCGACGTCGTCGGACAAGTACGAGCGCGACGTGACGATCCTCAATCACTGCTTCGACGACATCGAGAAGTTCATAGCGCGCTTACAGCACGCCGCGGCGGCGTCGCGCGAGCTCGAGCGACGCAGACGCAATCGCAAATCGAAGAAGCGCAATCCCGGCGACGGCATGCTGACGATGCGCGCCAAGCCCCCGCCGGAGCTCGAGTTCGTCGACATCTTCCAGAAGTTCAAGCTCTCCTTCAATCTGCTGGCCAAGCTCAAGTCGCACATACACGACCCGAACGCGCCCGAGCTCGTGCACTTCCTGTTCACGCCGCTGGCCCTGATCGTCGACGCGACCAACGACACGAGCTACGAGCCCAATCTGCCGGCCAAGGTCGTGTCGCCCCTGCTGACGCGCGAGGCCGTCAATCTGCTCATGAACTGCGTCACGAGCAAGGAGACCGAGCTCTGGCACGCCCTCGGCGACGCCTGGTTGGTGCCCCGCGAACAGTGGAAGGCCCACGTGCCGCCCTATCACCCGGTCTTCATGGACGGCTGGTCGCCCAACTACCCCATTCCCGACGATCGCGAGCCCATGGCCATCCACAACGAGCATCTCGCCTCCCTGCTCAATGCCGACAAGAGGAAGAGAGACAACGACATCAACGATCATCCCTCGGACCCCTACTACAACCAAACGTAAGTGGCATTCGATGTTGTTCGACGACGGCTGTGCGTGCGGCATCTCCGTTACACGATGGTTAATATGAATCTAGTTTCAGCAGAGAAGTCGACGAGTCTCACTACGGCAGCGACTACTTGGATTACGATAGTCGCGAGGATCGGGCGAATCCGGACGCGTACTTCGAACGCGGCTACGATCACCATCATCATCGCGGCGATCTGTACTCCCGCGACGCCGGTGTCGATCGGGAGCAGGAGAGACGCGCCCACAGCGACATATCGGTGGACTCGATCGAGCGCGGACCGAGGACCGCCGGCTCCTCCGTCAACCCCAACAACAACAGTCACGGCTCGCAGGTCGACGCTTGGTTGGACGAGCTGATGGCTCGCAGAGCCAAAATCGTCCAAGTTACCTATCCGCGCACGGCCAACAACGACAAGGAGCTGACGGTCGTTCGCGGCGAGTATCTGGAGATCCTCGACGACACGCGCAAATGGTGGAAGGCTCGCAACTCGCGAGGTCAGGTGGCCCACGTGCCCCACACCATCGTCACGCCCCACCATGGCAATCCGCAGGCCGCCTCGCCCGACGGCAGCGACCACTTCAACAGTCCCGTCTACCCGTCCAGATATCCCAGGCAATCGTCTCATGGCTATAACTATGAGGTGGGCAGTCGAGAGGGCGATTTTGTCAAAGATATGCTAAATGCTTTGGATCCGCAGGATTCCGAGATGGATGGTGCCAATACTAGTCCAGGATCGGAGCCGCCGCATCGGGCTCACGCGATACCGCCTCCAGCTCCGGCTGACTGGGTACGCAAGGAACGACTTGGCAAGAAAGGTGAATTTAGATATTTCTAAAAAAACAAAGGCTGATCATCCGCTATAATAAATTCGATCATCATATTGTACCGTATCGTCCTCAATTCAATTTTTTCGCTCAGTTCGCTAGATCATTGTGCATTGTCTCTATAATTGTATTCGCGTCATGAATTTGTTTGTTTACCTTATTCATATATACGTTTGATATGTATATTTATGTGTATCCAAATTGCAGCTTGCAAAACATTATTTTCATTTATATATTTTTTTATATACGCAGTATGTTGATGCATATGAGAAGTGTCTGTTTTTTAATCGATTCGATTATTTTAACGTATGACAGATATACTTTACCACCAAAAGTAGCACTTGGATGTTGATTATATGTCGCGCAAATCAGACGCATATATATGTATAATTTATAATGTATATGTCCAAAGCGTAATAATAATCCAAAGCTACTTGTTAAACAGCAATGTCTTTATCCCTAGTTCATAATTGTATTTGTATAATAATCTGTTAATTTATATGTGTGTCGTCGATCAATCCAATGCTATAAATGCAATACTTTACGTTTCGATATTATTCACGTTGATATCGATGATAAATGCATAATTTGAATATTGTCAAGTTTCTATCTTGTGGGTGTATAAAAAGTGGCATAGCGTGAATGTGCTATAATACATAAGGTATATAGAATGAAAAATACATGTGCACTCCAATTACAGTTTAAATGGCCTAATAGGCTCGTATATGCAGTTAAATACTTATCTGAGCCAAATCAAGCCAAGACTGCATGTGTAGAGTTGATCAGATTTGATCGATGTTAAGTTTTTTGTTAAAAAAAAGAAACGAACAAGTACCTTTATACCTTTTCCTATGTGCACATTTTTTGAAAATATCAAGGTAATGGGAAAGATAAAATTTATCGTTGATCTTTAATATTTCAGAATTAGTTCACGTTCTGCAAGCATTTTGGTAACATCATCAATCAGTTTAACAAAATCATAACTAATTTTCTATGAATTTTGTGTATGATAATAATTTTTCTATATTTTTTTTTTAAATTTGAGTAATTCCATGTAAACGCTAAATTTTATTTTTGTCAACTGATTTATTATTGTTTTATTATTATTAGTTTATATAATTATAAAAATGTTTACTTCAAGGATAGAAAATGATTCTTGAATGTTGTTTTAATACTTAACATGTTTAAGTAAATCGTACAATGCAAAAATCGTTAATATGATGAATTGATAACTTAATTAACAAATATAAAATTGATTCGTTATAAGTTAAGAAAATGTCAAAGTCGATATTATATTCGTATACACTATATTTATATTTTATATTTTTCCTTATAATCAGCGGTTTGTAGGAAACATAAGTGCAATTAAATTTTTAAATTGATCGTAATTGTACAAAGATATATTTTATGAAAAATTATAAATCATGTACTTAATTCAAAAATTATATGTATCATCTATATGTTTCATAATTGTAAGACATTATTTACCATATCATTCTTGTGTACCGTAATTAATTAGTTGGTAAGCTTCCTGCTTTGGCTATTTTTTAATAACAATACATATTTAAGAATATTTTTGTTGAACTATTTTTACATCTAGAAGATAAGTTTGAAGAATTGGACAGCGAAATAGATAATAGCAAGGATGACGTTAGTTCCACCAAGTCGTACAAGAGTGATAGCAATTCAGCAGTGACATTCAAAAGTTCCGAGTATTCGACTTCTTCTGGGATTAGGACTCTGGATAGGCGTGTACCCCTGGAGGATGATACGTCAGATCAAATTTCACTATTATTTGCCAGTGCTTTAAGTAACAATTCACCACCACCAACACCACCGCCACTTCCGAGTCTTGATGACTTTAATAGATCATTGTCGAGGCTGTCACTCCGCAGTTTTGGTTCTTCCAAAGAGTCAAATGAAGATAAATATAAACGAGAACTAGTTCACAATGAGCTAAAAGGTGTTTTGTCTAAGATAAATGGAAGTAAAAATTCGCCCAATGATATTAGAATTGAAATAGGGAAGCCATTGCCTTATGAAATTCAAACTTGGGATGACAAAAGGAACGGTTACGGCTGGAGAGCCGATTTATAATAAATAATATATCTTGATTTTATTCTGGCTGGTGACAACCAGTGAAGTACATATGATGTAATTGATTTGTTTGGAGTAGTCGTTATTATTTGTTATAATAAATTACAATGCAATATTATTCATCCATTCAAATACAAAGGTTTAACTTACACCTAGGCTTACTCAACTAATTAAAAATAATATACATAAGCCTGGTAGACGATTCTCGGTGTAAATCGTGGCTCACTCTGCAACTGGTTGGCTGGCGTTCCTGGTCGGCTGCACTGCACTAACTGCACTAGTCTCGATTACAAATTACACTCCGCATTGGACTCGCGGCACAATTTAATACAAGTCTAAATGATATAATATCGCGGTACAAAGTGACGTGAGCTCTGCACACCAAATAAGATGATAGTCGAATCGCGTCGAGGCCTCCGCGGGTCCTCAATATAGGGTAAACCAGCCAGTTATCGGACACTTAAGGAAATTTCCTGTTATAATCGATTGGGGGAGCTTACTCGTTTGATAAAAAATTTTTTTGAATATACCACCTTTTAGGAAATTTTCTGCTCCTTCTAATGCATATGTTCATGTGAGTAATATAAATGAACTTAATAAACTAAAAAGGCTAAAAAATCATATACTGAACCATTTTATTATGTTATTAATAAAAAATTATTTACAAATTTAATGTTACAACTTTTTTTCTCTCTCGATCCTTCTTTTTTCTGCTTTTCGAATTCATGAATAATTTCCCTTTTAATTTTTTTTTTTTGGTTCTTCTAGTTCCCTCAAAAAAATGACTATCGATAAAGGGTCTTGAAATTTTAACCACATATTATTGAAATACTTTTCATATTTGTGAGAAATTTCAGGAACTTTAACCAAACCATTTCCGAAATTATAATTAATCAAAGTTCGGTACTTTAACATGGGATCCCTATGCTAGCGTGTCGAAAAAACGCTATTTTGCGTGATTATAGAAAAACGCATCGATAAAATCTTTTCAAAAACTAGGAGATGATTGTTCAATATGTACTAAAACATGGCTCAAAACCTGGAAAAATTTGACCAAATAGTTTTTGAGAAAAGTTAATGTAAAAACATTGCAAAAATAAAAATTTAAACTTTTTGACCTGAAACTCACTTTTTAAGGTTTTTAGGGTCATTTTAAACAAAAAAGTGCTCTTGTAAATTTTCTCTAAAATCGATTGTTAACGAGCTATAAACGATTCAAATTTAAACAATTTCAAGCAATGAATCTTTGCGATTTTTTATCTCAATAATCATGAACTCTACGAAAAATTTTAAAAGAACAAAAAAGTCTTAGAATTTATCAAGGAAAGCGTATGAATTTTTTCAGATTTTTTTTAGAAATATGCCCAAATTTGTCAGTTAGGTCTGAGGGAACATCCTTAATCAATGGTTTGTATGGCGTGTTCATTTCACACCTTTTGTAAGAGGTGTAGATTTCGATGTTCCTTTCATAGAATTCGATGTTTTTACCAATTTTTATAGTTTTCTTTTTCACTTAGCTCGATGTCGTCAGATCCCGTTGATTGAGGCTGGCGCGTCCGCTCGTAGAGTGAAATTTCATGTTTATCGTTATTTGAATATACATTATTTTTACGAATATTATAATTGTTTTATAATAAAATAAGGGTGACGTGACAGAACCAAGAAAGGTAAAAAAAGTCAATAGTTTACAGTCGATAGCTCATTTATTTTTTATATAATATTTTTTACAATTTGCCTGAATACTTACATGGAATGATTTTCAATTCTTGAAGAAAAGAATTTTCAAAAATAACGTTAACATATATCAATAACAAACATTCAATTCAACTTTTAACTACTTCACGAAAAGTCAAACATTTGAAGAAAATAAATATCTGATAGGTTTAATAAAACGATTATTTTAAAAATATTTATATAAAATATAGATAAATAAAATTTTTTATACAATATTTAAAAATTCAGACTTGACAATCTACCTTAAAAATTGCTTTTCTTTTTCAGTACCAATAAGTAATTGACTCACATAGCTACAATCAAGAAATAGGAATTACTTTCATTTTAAAAATTCTATGATAGCCTTATGAAAATGTTATCAGTATGTATAAGTGGAAAATATGATTATGTAATTTTAAAAATTGTCTTACAAAAAATAGAAATCTATTTTTTCTGCGATTATAGTTATACTCTGCCTATTAAAATTGGTTAGCTTTAATAATTGTGAATAGTACAAATAATATTTTTACATTTAATGTTTTTCGGAAACTTGATTATGTTTTATCGTAGTTCAATATCATTTATCACAGTCAGAACTTATTTTCAAAAGTGAATTTGTTTTTTTGGGAAAATCTGGAAGTTTACATAATACCTTATGCATTGAAGATTTTTCAGTGAAACGAATTCACGCCGACTACGAATATTAAAAAAATTCACTGAGATGAATAATAAAGTCGTTAAACTTTTCTTACAATATTCACAATTAAATTAATGAAATGTGATGTAACTGTGAAATTATTATTACAATACCTGTATACCTCTTTCCAATTACCTCCTTTACTATCTCATGATTTTCCTGAATTTTTCCAGTTCAAAAATACTTTCTGATAATCTAGAAAAAACAATAGTTCAAGAATTTAATAAATGCAGAATTTTAATAAAAAAGGAAATACATTCGTTTTACCTTCCAAAACCATTGATCAACGAAACTATCTCCGTTCTTTCCAAGGAAAATCGTTGTTTACCAAAATCAAGGAGAGTAGGTTCATATTTGTCAAATGCGCCAGAAAACAAAATTTTCAAAGCTGTGCCTAAGCCCTGTGTTTGGAGTTTTCCCCATAAGCGGCATTTATCGCAGCCAACACAATCCATAATTCGTGAGATATTTCTAAAATGTTGTTTGAATTCATCTTTCAACAATTGTGCTTCAGATCCTCCATTAAACATGACACTCTCATTAAAATGTTCAGGAAAAGAGCTGCCATAAGAATGAACATTTATTATTCTATTTGAAATTTCAAATTTTGAGAAATATTAAACAGTTACCTGACTATATTTAATATATCATTTATAGCTAATCTAGTATCTTTATCCTCAATTTGATTGCCTGTATAATATTCTAATTTCTGTAGGTAGGGTGCAGCTTTTGCAAGGGCTCTTAGTTCTAACATATATATAAAATACAGATTCTTCAACCAGTTTGGTCCTTCTCCATCTGTAGTTTCTGGAGAAAAACGTCTTTGGAACTCATCAAAATTAGGTCCCCATGTTCCTTCTGGACTTACATCCAATCGGTTTTGTGAAGATAATAAGTACTTGGAACTTAAATGTATATTAATGCTGGTATGTAACCCAGATATTACTCTATAAAAGGCTCTCTTTTCTAAACACATATCTGTAAAAAATAAATTTAAATTAGTCTTAATATCAAATCAAATAAGAGTCACAGGAGAAGACAAATTAATACCATCTATTTTAGATGATCGAATAAATGTATTTTTTGTTGAAGTTTCTGGCCTAAAGCAGTTTTCCATATAAATACTACGCCATATTCTATGAGCACTAGGACCTTTATATCCTGTGTATCTTTCTGGATTCAAAAGCAAGTCAACGTATTCTCCGCCATCGTTCTCGGTGATACAAAAATTATCAAGAGAATCGTCATGCTGCTGCCAGCGTTCAAAACCAGCATATGTTTCAGAACTATTAAAAGAGAAATATTTTTTTCATAGTTAGACAAAGTACTGATACTGCTATAGTAATCTTTTAAACGTACCTTATAGTGGTGTTCAAATAGCCTAATTCTATATTATGATCACTATTCTGATTGCAGTCAGAAGTTTGTTGATTAGCTTTATATTTATCAACTGGACTTTCATTAGTATGAATGTGTCTTGGCACATCTGCGCCTTTTAATCCAACTGGAATATCTTTCTGTAATGAAAAAGGATACATTTTTCAATTAATGATAAAGATATAAAATTTTTGCAATAAAAAAAACTAAAAGCTACAAACCTCTTTACAAGGTTGAACATGACAGTATCGCATAGCACACTTGCTGTCATCAACCCAAAATGGACAAGGCCTGTTGAGATTGACTTTGTAAAATCTAAAATAATCTCTCACTAGCAGGCTCTGCAATCTAGGATAAATTTTTGCATTGTTGAAATAGTCGACGGTGTCAACTGTGCAGCTGCAGTCGTCTATAGCGCCATTCAGCTGTATCAAACAAAATAAAACATATGTTGAGTCAAAATTTATATAGGTAATAAATTTTGAGATAAAATTAGTGCAGTAGTTAGCCGCGAGTACAAGACAATTAATGCGGGCTCGCGACCTTCCGTTCAATCGATGCAACTCACGGATGGTCTTGAGAAACAAAAACTACAAGAATTATTTATATAAACAAAATGTCAAAGTCGCGTAGCAGACAGCAGAAGCTGTCAATGAACTCGGCTGCAAGTGCAGTGTCGTGCACTCCCACGTAAATCCGCGAAAAGACACTCGCGTCGTGGTCGTTGCAACTCGTCGGTCAAGAGTCATAAAAATGCAAAAGCATGCGTGCACACGATTGTTGTTGCTTGGAGCGTCGTCGTCGTCTATACCTTGCAGAAGCACTGGCCACCGGTCGGTCGGTCGTGATTGCCGAAATTGAAGCCGTACGAGTGCGAGGACAGCAGCAATAGCTGCAGCACAGCCAGCAGCAGCATAACCGAGCCAGTTGAGTACAATTGCATCATGCCGTCGAGTGTTTGCTCGAAATCGTCGCTGTCGTTGAATTGTCAGCTGCTAGATATACGAAGCCCGGCACCTTTATCATGTTGTTCCTTGCTGCAGCGAAGGCGAGATCGTGTAGGGGCGGATCATTCGGATACGAGGAAAACTTTGCCGAAGAATATCGCGATATCAGTGCGTCAGTTCCGATTGTACGAGCTCAACTAGAGCTGTGCAGACGGTGTAGTGTATACTGTAATAGCGGCGCACTGTATAGATATATAAAACAAGTCTTCGGCCAATTGCTCCAACATACGTGTTCGAGTGTCAGACCGTCAGCGCGCGCGTAACGCGTGTATGTAGAAGCAGAAATTCAACAATATAACGGTGCGGCCGTTACTATATTTATGCCGCGGTGACTTCGATATTGGGCGAATGCAAAAGTAGAACGCGGAGAGCACCTCTCGAGCGATAAACTAATCCACGTATGCTGTTCTGTTTTTTGGCAATAAAACACGATAAAGAAGGAAAAAATAACAACTTATTTTTCGATACGGAAAATTACCGAGCTTTATGCGCGCGCGCTTTACTTGTGCGGTCCCCTACTCATCATTGCAACTTTTCTTCGACGCCTTTTTCTTTTTTTCATCTCTTTTTCGACGATTATTGTATTATTTTGGATCCGCGCGACACTTGAGAACACGTGGTCAATCGCGATAGGTATACGCGACTCGACGCGCGTCATCGTCGCTATTTTTGAGTGAGATTTTTTTCGTAACAAATTAATTCTTTATTGCGGGGCACGTTCCTCGAAGCGTTTCTCGATAACATTCGAACGTGATAATTGCGCAGACCGAGGCTCACGGACGCTCTCTTACATAATTTTTTTTTATATCGATTTTAACCGGGCGTCAATTACGTTTTGAGACGTACATCGCACCTCTCTTTGTTGCTGCACATAAGTAAATCGCTTTTTATTGGCATTAAAAGCAATGTATTTTGACCAAATAGTAACTAAATTATTGTATCGTAAAAATATGAAATTTTATTATCTTGGTCGACGTTTTGTACTCTCAGAACACCATTATTTTATATATAAACTCTATAAAACGTGACTCATAAAAAATTTAAACAATTTTTTAGTTTTAACTTTAGTTAGTAATCATGCTCTTCATAATTTTCTTTGCAGTCAAGCAAATTATGAATGCACTCTTCAAATTCATCCTGCTCCAATCCTGAGTCCGCAAAGGAATGGAACCTATTGATGCTTCGAATTTTTCTTACATTTTCATGTAAAGAATGATACATATCTGCAACAAATTTTCCAGAATGGAGGCCAGCCATCACAGGAACTGTTGCTACATCTGTAAAATATGTTTGTTTAAACATTGTGTATCATGTTTGATCAATCATTTTTTCAGCTACCATGTCAAATGATTATTTCAATTCTTACATTCATTAGAAAAATTTTAAAACTTACTTGTATCATTTGGTCTGGGTGAGTCAGAAAGAAATCCACTTTGCTGCACATTACTTTCAAAAATCTTTGGATAAGGATTTTTGATAATCATTGGTCTCTCTGTGTTTGTTAAATGAATACCAGATCTAATGCAAGAACTATCAAGATAGAGGCTCATCATCTCATGTACAGTAGAACATCTGTAGCCTGCTTTGTTCATTTGATTTGCAGCATCTTTAAGTGGACGTTTTAATCTATCTTCTGGTATTCCTCTCAATGATACACTGTGCATACTACAATCTTGATCTATTTTGCAATATGGTGTTAAACTTTCCCATGGGCAACGACCATCTAAATTATCTAATACATCTATAAAGTCCACAGTTGTATTCATTGGGAAAGGTACAGATAAACTAGTGGCAACAGCTTTTCTGCCAAGTTTATTTAAGTCTGCGCAAAGGTCTGATAATACTGATGATGCATACTTTCTATTTCGATAGCGTATACTAAGTGTATCTAGAGCAGTTGCCATAAGAGCACTGGTGTGGTATTTAAGTTCAGGTTTATAAACAATATTTTCAAATTTTCTGGGATTATTTGGAACAGGCCATCCATTGAAATCGCAACATAATGGACTAAATAGAGATGAATTTTCATTCAAGTGCTTCCAACAAACAACCATATTGATTATTTTAGCATAATCAGCTAATGATTTTTGTCTAGGTACAGAATCTAATACAGGCCATGCAATGATACTTTTACCATATTCATCCCTCAAGTATTCTATGCAAGCTGCACTTAATCCACCAAAACCATTATCAGCATCCATAAGAACCTTTAAAAGTATTAAAATTAATCAATTTCATAATCATTAACAAAATAATGAGATTTTATGTAATTATATTAATTTTACCTGAAACCCTTGCATCATGTTGCATTCTTCAACATAATTTCTTATCCTTTCAATAAAGTCATTTTGAAATTGATCAGTTTTCCATAAATTTTGACCACAAGGGAATGTTTCAAAAGCTGTAGTTTCAGATTTATGTTCATATTCTGTAACCACATTGACTGTTCTTTGATTGTAACGAGTATATAAATAATCCACCCACTTGTTATTTTCATTTTCCAAATCATTTGATGCATCTATTGTTTCTGTATCTTTACTATCCAGATTTTGAACAAAAAGTGATTTTTCAGCTGCTGGTTCTACTATTTTTTCTATTTTATTTTCATCCCATAATAAATCCACTGGTAAATTTGAAGGATTCTCTAGTATGTCATTGATATTGCCCTCTTCACTTAGATAACCCAGAGTTCCTTTTAAATCCGCAAGTAATAAACGTGGGGTATACGTAGATTTCTATTTTAAGATAACAGAAAAAATGAAATAAGTTACAATGTATTATAATGATGACATTTAATTTAGACATTTTATTAGTCTGACATACATTACCAAGCCTTCCTTCTCTAAAGAAGACATCAGGGTCAATTTCTGATGGATTATTAGGGTCATACGAAAAATTGCTCTCCTAAAATGACAACAGGTAATGAAATTTGCTGTTTAAAGTATTTCGATAAACTATAACCATCATTAACGAACCTGTATATTCCACCAATGAGTACCAACGAAATTGGCATAATGTCCTAATTGAATAGTGAGTATTTCTCTTGACGCCATATTTATTTTTGTTAAAAAATATAAATTATTGATTTGATCTGCAAAATTCGTCAAGCTCTGATTTATATCGAATTGTCTTTGACAAAACAAATTACAACCGCGCCGCATACACGTGAGCAGAAAGCGAAGCGTGAGAGATACGAATGGTAACTATATGACAGTTTTTTTTAGCGATTTGATTGGTTACTGATTTCAAGTCAAATTCACCAATAGAAATAAAGAGGTAGGTAATTTAAAGAAATTGTTTATTATCACAAGTGAAAAAACTTATACTAAAACTATAACAAATAATAATAAAAATAATTTTTAAAAGCTTAATTCCATCTTAACGCTTAATTCTATGCAAAATACATTTTTAATAATTGCATTTGAATACAATTTCATTTTGTTATCAATTTAATTATTTTTTTGCCCATGAGTACACGCAGATTCAATCTTGATGAATGACTATAACAGTGCTTTGCTTAGTTGCAGTGATACTCACAATTTTATCTCCATGGCTATTTGTCAGCGTAGTCGTAATCGGAAAACTGGCAGAATTACTTGATGAGCTGACAATATTATTTTTATTGACAGGAACTAATGCTTTTTTTTGTGCAATCGATACAGTATTGCAGTTACCTTGCAACGGTTTACTTGACGCAATGTTTTTATTTTGTACATTTGTCGGTATTGTCTTATTTGAAACAATGTCAAAATTACTAGGTGAGTTGATGGTGTTAATTTTGTTGGTAGGGACCGATGACTTTTTATCGGAAGACGATGCAGTTTTGGTGTTACCGGTTACAGTTTGTTTTTTCGTCAATTGCACGTTCTTCGGTGTTGTCTTATTTGGAACATTGGCAGGATTACTTGATGGGTTGACCGTATCAATTTTGTTGGTAGGGACTGATGATTTTTCATGGGAAGACGATGCGGTTTTGGTGTTACCTGTAGGTACAGTTTGTTTGTTCGTCGATTGGACATTTGTTGGTGTTGTCTCATTTATCAACGGTGCTGTTTTTTTCTGTGTAGTCCCGGACGTCGAACCCCTCGGATTATTTATCACTAAAGGTTCATCACTTACAATTTCAACGATATTCTTATTTGTGTCTGCATAAAGTGAGTTTAGGAAATCGGTAGAAATGTACCCGACAGGGCGTAACACACAATATACACAATAATAACCATTTTCATTTTTTTTACCAGCTAAACATTCAAGACCCTTATATTCCTGTATAAAAAATAATGAAGAGAAAAGAATATTAGATCGCATTAATTTAATTACTCATTATTTAAAATTTTAAAACAGATTTTTTTACCCCTAGATAGACTTCACTGAAAATGCGTTGAATTCTCTGCAGCTTATATTTAAATTCTAATCCATGGTCACTTGCTTGATCAATGTCTTCGACACGTAAACGTACGTACGTATATGCGTGGAGAAGTTGATGCTGAAAATTATACAAATGTTTTGATGATAAAATAAAGATTTTAAAATATAAGAATAAACTCACTATGTAAGCCAAAAAAAAATCTTCCGGACCTAATAATATTTTTAATCGGTCACTGAATGAAATTTCGAATCGTTTTGTGCTGCTATCGTAAGAGCATTTACTAATATCTCTGTTAAATTAGAATCAATGTGAATTATTTTTATTGTAGGTATTATTTAAACAATATATTATTGAGCTTACGTTGTCAAACCTTTACAGATGGTAACATGAATTGAATGTAGAGTACCTTCAAAGCAAACACTATTGATCACGTCGAAGCTGCGACGATCATCTGGTTTCGAGTAAATATCTTTGACAATTTTATTTTGTAAGGAAGGAGATATTGAACCATTCGGTAGTAACTATTATTAAATCGAGTAAAATGATTTTTAATTACCTCATTGATATTTATTAATTTGAAATAATAGTTAAAAAATGTATTTACCAGATGTCTATTTCTTTCAACTAAATTCATTTTATTTCAAGGAGTATGAGATCTATTAAAATAATAAATGTTAATCGACTTACGCAATAGAAGTAATAAGTTATTATGCTAAGACTTATTTTTCGTTGGTGCTTACGTGTTTGTAAGTCGAGTTATACTGTCAGCAGACAACATGTAGAGTAAATAATAACGAGACAAAAGTTTGTTTTTCTCAACAGTAGTTTCTAACATTATTATTTACCGATAATCGATTGACATAACCATTGAATTTAATGTTTCAAATAACTAATCTCCAGATGGTAAATATTTTCCTATCACTAGTATTTGAATAATTATTTTCAGTTATAGCAATTTCACCCAAAATTAATTTTTTTATTTACTAAATATAAATATTTAAGCAACAAGAAAGTCATGCGAATTTTTTTTAAATACTGAGAACCAACAGAAACTTTTATTTTTTGGGAATGAATTTTGAACACTATATAAAATTTTCATCTTATTGAGACATCAAATTCCTAAAAACTTATTACATATAGGACATTCTCAAAACTGTATTAAAAATCCTATGCACCGGTTTCTCACAATTGTAACAATTTTTAACTATCTATTCAAAAATATTAACTTGAGACAGAAACAATACTTTAGCCTTTAAACCGGTAAAGATTATAGGTATGGCCTAGAATCGATATTACGTCATTTTTTATCGGTATATATTGACTCGTAATATATGAAAAAATTCATGTAAATAAGATTCAAAAACATTTTCAACTGTCTACGAAATTCTTTATTGTTATTTTATTCACAAAAAACCTAAAACAAAAAAATAATGATAATAATAATAATCCTATTAATAAACATTAACACTTATCAAAAGAGAAATTAGAACATAATCGTTACCTTGTCCAATACAAAATATTTAAGAACTCCAAAATTAATGTATAAAAACATGATTTCAACTTAACGCTAAATTCTATACGAAATACATTTTTTAATGATTTCATTTTTATACAATTTCATTTTGTTGTCAACTTTATTCTTCTTTATGTAAATTATTACATGCAGGTTCAGTCTTGATGAATGACTATAACAGTACTTTGCTTAGTTGCAGTAATACTCACAATTTTATCTCCATGACTATTTGTCAACGTAGTCGTAATCGGAAAACTGGCAGAATTACTCGATGAGCTGACAATGTTATTTTTATTTGTTGGTGTATCTCTAATTGGCTCAATTGATTTAAGTAAATCGGGAGAAATGTTTAACACACGACAATAATTGTCCCAACTGTTCCTATTACTGACACATTCAATAATCTTATCATCGTCCTCCTATAATATAATTTATGGGCAATATTACATAACATTAATTTCACTACTTGAAATGTTGAAACAAAAGAGTTCTCTTACAGGGAAATAGACTTCATACATAATAAGACTAATTCTATTTGAGTGATCTTTAAAATCATATCTACCATGGTCACATCTACGATGCTGGTATATATATGCATGAATAAGTTGATGCTGAAAATCATACACGTGTTTCGATAATCAAATGAAAATTCGGAAAAGCTAAGAAAATACTTACCATATAAACGTGGAAAAAATCTTTCGGAGTCAATAATGTTTTTAATTCGTGATGGAAGCAAATGTTGCAGCGTTTGGTAATTTTGTCGTAATGCAATTTACTAAGATGTCTGTCAAGTGAAAATTAATGTAAATTATTTTTATTTCATTAAACTAACTCAATCGTATTATAAATGCTCGTTTTTCAATCTTACTTTGCCGGATATTTACCCATGATAATATCCACTGGATCTAGAAGCCCGCCGAAACAAACCATATTGATTCTGTCGAAGCAATCTAGATCATTTGGCTTCAAGTAAATCTTTTCGACAATCCTCTCTTGCATGCACGCAGGAAGTGAACGTACCGGTAGTGTCTGTTATTTAATCGAGCACAGTGTGTATTAAATACCTCATTGATGCTCATTAATTTGAAATAATATTTTAAAAAATGTATTTACCTGATATTCCATTTTATTTCAAATAGTATGAGATCTATTGAAATAATAATTATTAATCAATTTATGTAATTAAAGTAATGAGTAACACACTGAAATTTATATTTCGTTGGTGCTTGCTCGTTTGTAAGCTAAACTGTACTGGCAGCAGACAATATACAAAGTAAATAATAACGAGACAAACGCTGTTTTCTCAAGAGTAGTTACTAATATTATTATTTACAAATAATTGGTTGACATCAATTTATTTTAATGCTTTAAATAATTAAACTCAAAATGGTATACATTTTTCAATGGGTGGTATTGGAAAAATTGATTTTTTTATTTACTTAATATAAATATTTAAGCAACGAGAAAGTAATGCGAATTTAAAAAAAAAATACTAAGAACAATTGAAAGTGTTAATTTACGAAGAAATTTTGGAAATTTTAATCTCAATTATTCCTCAACATTTTTAATTCACATTTCTAGAATTTATTACACTTATTATTTGAGTCATAGAAAAATATTTTTATTTATTATGTATTGAATACTAAACAAAAAGTTTGAAGTTATAAAATGGATAACAAAAAATGGCAACACATACATAACAATACAATTTATGTTCACTTCATCATGTTTGGGTGCAAACATCTAAATGTTCATTCATTTTTGACTCTTTGACTAATTTCATGCATACTGGACATGGATATTCATCCAAGATTGTTGCATTTTTTAAATCTTCTTCATTTATTGTAAAACTGTCTAAACTACCATCATCAAATAAAGAAGATGTACATTCTTCTAAATGTTCACTCAAACTTTCATTTGGTTTTAGTTTTACATTACAAATTAAACAAACATGAGGAGTATTCTCTTCTTTGGTAGAACTTTCAGATTTAGAAAAACTAGAATCATTTGATTCTTTTTTTAGAGGAGTTCCAGAAGTGAGATCAACAAAATCAGGCAATTCAGCACATTTCACGAAATGATCATTAAAGTCATCCGGTTTTAAGGTTTTTGAACAAATTGGACAATCAACTGTACTTGTTTCATCGACTTTTCGTTTTTTTTTAGGTTTCACATCTTGCAAACATTCATCCAAATGCTCATTGATTTTAGATTCTTCCACTTCATCATCACAACTTGGGCATGTAACAAAAATTATTTTAACATTGTCCACTTTTGATATCTGATTTGATATTCTGGGTCCATTTAAATTATTTGTCTCAACTAGGTCAATAGATTGATTTGTTGAAGATTTTGTAGTAACATTATTTTGAATAAGAATACTTTGCCCAGTAGAAGAACCTCCTAAAGTTCCAGAGTAAGAAAACCGAGGAACCGATTTATTTGAAGGAACTTTATCGTTTGTACTAAATCTATTACTTGAGTCACTGGATCGTCCACTTGGGCCACCTGTGCCCCAACCATGGACATTATTAGTACTATTACCTAATTTTTTTAAATCTCCAGAAGTCACAGTACTGACAGTTTTATTAATAGATCCTTTATTAATTATACTTTGATTAGGAATAAATGATTTTTTAGGTGGTTGAGCTGTGACTGATGCTGATGATGTATTTTTGTTTGTGTTATTAGTTTTCTGTACCCAATTAACTAAAGTTTTATTATTAGGTACTTTATCTTTGAAATCAGCTTTCTTTTTAGGTTTTTCCACTTTTTCTGGCTCCTTTATTTTAATAAATTTACCACCACATGTAGCTTCATGCTCATTCCACCACAAATCATTTGGTCCAGGAGCACGATTCATTGCTCTTCTAACTGTTCCAAAGAAAGGTGCCCTATTTTGACAAGGTCCATTACATCTCCACCAATGTTGTTGATAAAACTTGACTTCATCATGAAATGTATGATAAATCTATAAAAAGTATTATTTTGCATGAAATATTGAATGATTAGAAAAATTAATAAACTTATAAAAACTTTACAGTTATATTAGTTCCTGCTGCATTGTTGATTCTTCTCATATGATTCTGAAAATTTGGACCATGGCCATCTCTATCCCTATCATTATTTGTTAAAAACAAATATGCATGAATCATTTCGTGCTGTAAATAAAACATGTTCTCCATAACACAAAAATATTATTTCTTATTTAAAACAAAAAAAAATTTACCAATAGAGTTTCAACAAGATCTTTTCTTGGTCTTAATTTTAACAAAGGGGTACTCAATGAAATGATACATTCTCTATTTCTTGGATTAAAAGAACATATTCCTGCACATCTGTTGAATAACGTTTAAAATCAACTTTCTCAAATAATATGTTGTTAAAATATTTAATGATTCTTACGATGTCATGCGTGGACTCCATTTAACTTGAACTGGTAATAATTTGCTCCAAAAAAAATTGGCATTAAATTGCACAAAAAGGGCATGAATATTTGGAGTTGGATCTGTTATTTCAAGGATACTGTCAACTAAAGACACTGGTCGGTCATTTTTATTTTTCTGCATAAGAGAATTTTTCACAATAAATAATAAATAGAAATTAATATAAATGAAGAATTATTTACAAACCTGTGTTGGACTTGCTATTACTCCAAGGCAATCTAACTCATCATCAAATAAATTTTTCTGGTACTTGCTCATTTTGTTATATATTTTACTTCATAATCAATTGAATACACATGAAATTACAAATCATCAACTTGAGCACTAAGTAGTTTTTGATAAACTACTGAATTTTTTATTTCTGATTACTGACAGCGATCACCATGAGTAGAAGAATTTCTATCTTATTGCATTTGGTGGGCGCGTTTTTTTCCTATTTACAAGCGCTCTTCATTCATTACATTGAGATTTTTTACTGTCATAAAGTGGTCACTTTACATCAGCTGATTTTTATAATGATCTATCGGAAAATTGAAATCAACGCAGATTCAAACTTGCAGTTTTGAATCATAATAGGTTACTGTGTTGATTGACCATACCTAGAACAAACGATATAAATTTCAATGTCTACACACTTAAATTTTTTATCATGATGCGTTATATGTCAAAAAATGATTATTTACTTTTCAACGTTTTATCGAAAAACGTGCAAAGTGACAGCTCTTTCTCATCACAACGACAACGTGAAAATGATCTTTACAGATGTCGCTGTTCTCTGTATACGTATGCGCGCGCGCGTGTGTATATGTTTTTAAAACCCATGCAATTTGCAAAGCGACAGTCGCAAACACATATGTAACATTGTAAGTTTGTAACGATCTCGCCGCAAGCGCCAAGCAGTCAACCCGAATTAAATCACGCGCATGTAACTGCGGAATCATCGCTTTTTTTTCGTGTTGCTTGTTTACGTCGTATGAGTTCTTCGAATAAAATAAAAACACATCGTCGTAAGTCGATCATTTACTGCCTGTTGCTCGTGCTGCAATTGCGTAACGTCGCCGAGATAACTGCCCTAGCCGCGGCACCGACTAACCAGAAGCCGGCTTATCAGACTTACGAGGTTATAATATAAAACATTACAACAATACTACCTCATTTTCGCGTACTCGTTGCGTTTTAGCTATATAATGTTTAGCTCGAAAGTAAGATACGTTTTTACGTACGATATTTTATTACTTTCTAAAACATGTATTTGAATTTTCGGACTCGAAGGTGCTGACTTCTACTGCTCATAGCTGTCTCAAGAGGGATATTTTCAATACTGCTCTGCGCAATTGTTTGTCAACACAAGTAGATAAGTCCACCAAGATGACTTTCGAAACTGAAAAACGTTTGTCGCATTTTTGTATCGCTCATTCTAACATTGTAGCGTTGTAATATAACTCACACATGCTAATTTGCAGAAAAATATCTGTCGATGAGCTCAGCTGAAAAACGAAAACTATTGAAATTTACGCCAACTACCGTCAGTGAAATACTTACTTGGCCGGACTTCTGGAACAAAAACAAATCTAGAATTGGAGTTACGTCGGAGGAAGTGGAAATAGTCGATAAATCGTTAGCCAATAAAATATCTATTTGGGAGGGCGATATCACGAAATTAGATATCGATGCGATTGTCAACGCGGCTAATTCTAGTCTTATGGGAGGAGGTGGAGGTATGTTTATCAGCTTATTACTTTGCTTTCGAAAAAAAACATTTGACGGAGTATACATTTTATACGAACGCAGTTGACGGAGCTATTCATAGAGGAGCAGGAGGATATCTTAAGCAAGAGTGCGCGACTTTAGGAGGTTGCGACGTCGGCGAAGCAAAAATAACAGGAGCTTACATGTTACCTGCAAAATGTAAGCATTTTTTGTGGAAAAAAAATGTTTATATGTATCAATATTTGAGAACGATTACAAAAATTATGTTTTTCTACAGATGTTATTCACACAGTTGGGCCTCAAGGTGAGAAACCTGAGAAGTTGCAAAGATGTTATGAAAACAGTCTGAATGTTGCTAAAAAAAATGGTGTTCGCACCATAGCCTTTCCATGCATATCAACAGGAATTTATGGCTATCCGCAAAAACCTGCAGCTAGAGTTGCATTATCAACTGTAAAGAAATTTCTTCTCGCTAATCCAGACAGCGTGAGTAATTATAATAAGGATAAAAGAATTAATATACTGTGTTTTGATTGAATTTTTCTTTTCAGATTGATAGAGTTATTTTCTGCCTGTTTCTGAAATCTGATCAAGAAATTTATGAAGATTTGTTGCAAAAGTACTTTGGTTTAGAATAATAATTATACTTAAGTTAAATTGTACATTTTTTTTTGTCTTTCATTAAATTTTTTTCCAGACAATTTTATGATGATTGCTCATGTCTACCTTGAAAAAGTCAAGTTATTCATGATTGAATGAAATTAATTGACCATAATGCTTATTGCACAAAGCATCAAACAAACATCCACACCCCTGCACTAGCTCAAAATTTAATCATGTAGCTGCGGTAAAGCCCCTTCTACATAGGAAAGGATTCGTAGGATTTGCAGGAACGTGCAAATCGTAAAATTTGTACTAATCCTTTCCTATGTAGAAGGGGCCTAAATTTGATTTTCCAAGTTGCTTTTGCTTACACTGCAACGTGCGTCGTGACTTGTACTGCACTGTGTTTTTGTACTAAGATCGATAAGGAGAGTAAAAAACGGAAGATGCATGCATTATCGAGCGCCTATTCAATAGTAGCCTCATTGCCATGGTCAGTTCTTCATCACAGGGGAAACTTAAAGTTTGCCATTTTTTAGGAAAGGAATAGAGATATGTAATTATAGCTACTCGAATGCAATAATGGTTGTGAAACTTAATACAGCTGTAAGTATTTCTAAAAACTCTAAAAAACTTAAAACTTTTTTTTTGTATCCGAATCAATCATATTTGTTGCACCAAATTTGGCTGGGCTCTGCACACTTTCAATAAATAGTGATAACTGCTATTTAGCCGACCCTGGTTCTAATACCATTGGTGAAGTTCAAATTTTTGATGCCATTAATTTGGTAAGCTAACAAAAATATCGCTCCATTTTTTCATTTTTACATAAATTTATAAAATTTTAATTATTTTTCTTTATTTAAATTTAAATTTAAATTAAAACTTTTTAGCAAGCAAAAACTATGATACCAGCTCATGATAGCCCTTTAGTTGCTCTTACATTTAGTCCAAATCATAGAAAAGTTGCCACTGCTTCAAAAAAAGGCACAGTCATCAGAGTCTTTCATGCAAAAATATAAAAAAATTTTTATTCAAGAAATGGAAACCCTACTGAAATGACAATATCGAAAAATCACAGTTTACAGGTTCATGATAGAACTAAATTGTTTGAATTCAGAAGAGTAGTTAAAAGATGTGTTTCTATTAGCAATTTAAGCTTCAGTATAGATTCTATGTTTCTGTGCTGCCCAACATCAACATTGGTTTTTTTATTTTTCCAATCAAATCATAGTTATACCATTAAAGTTACATTTAATTTCTTTGTTAAGAAATGAATACAGATGAACTACTGGTATATGGTAAAATTCTAAAACATTAACAGTATTTAAAAACTAAATGTCATTTGAAATATATTTGTAATTTTCTCGATTTTTGTTTCTTTATAGTTTTTTTAATCCACAAAATTGCAGTTCAATTGCAAAATCAGTTGACTTACGTTTCATTTTCATAACTATGAAATTAATCAATTTTAACGGAATGTATTGGCAACCATTTTTGGAACATAAACAGTTACAGTAGAAAAAACTAGTTGTACCATGAAAATGATTACATATTGCAATCCAATTGACTCGAGATCGGTTATATCGCATGTAAGTTATAATAACTTAAGATCATTGTATAAAAATTTTATTTTTCAGTGTCGATTTTTTCTTTCAATTGACGACTGAGTCCTTGACGCGTTTGGACTCAACTGCGCTCAAAGCTATGCCAAGTTGCGCCGCATAATATGTTAACATGATAGTGATCTAAAAAGTTGAAAATATTGTAATAATTTTTTTCTTATTATATCAGAAGTTGATGGCTTCAAGCTTTTAAAACTCACTTGAGGATAAGGCACAGGGCTGCAAAAATGATGAAAACCTATCATAGTATCCAAAATAACAAAGCATATGCTACCGATGCAACAGAATAATCGGTTCCATGTCCATTGACCCTATAAATTATTTATTTTTAAAGGTAATAAATGGTTCATTTAAAATCTTTACTTCAAAAATTTTAAAAATTAATCATGTTGACTAGATTTTCATTGATTATACCTCGAAAAATTGTACCCTAGAGATGACCCTCAGAAAACTCCGAGTATGAAAGGGCGAGATAATTAGCTTGAAAAGCTAATACAATGTCTAAATAGCTTTAGACATTGTATCAGCTGAAATTGCTTTTACAATTTCGCCATCCTCGGTAACCTCCTTGGAGCTTTTGAAGCACTCGTTGCATCTTTTCTCCAGCTGCTCCACCTTCAGCTCGTCCAGTACCGATTCGCCGAAAACGTTTCTGTGGCCGATGTAGGCGCCCTTTTCCAGCAACAGTTGCACCCCTTGGTCGCTCGAGGCACGCGTCGCGTAATGCAGCGGACTATTGCCTTTGTCTGCAAATTATCGCAATGATTTTATCGTCAGAAATATATTTTCTCGCAATGGCAAGAAGAAAAAAGTAGAGTTTTACGTACCGTCCTGTTGGCGTACATGGACGTTTTCCTGCTCGAGAACGAACTCGAGGCATCGGAAACGCGGCGCAGCGGCGTCGTGATCCTGCGCTGGTCTGGGCTCGAGTCTCGTGCAGAGCGCCTGACTGGCGGGCATCAGCAGCTGATCGGCGAACTCTCGCGCCCCGAGCTTGAGCAGCCGGTCCAGCACCTCCGGCCAGGCGTGCTTAATGGCCAGCTCGGCCAGAGCCGCCAGCTCGGCGGGGCCGGGCGCGAATCGATGCAGCAGTTGGTCCAGCGGTCCGGTCAGACCTCGCATCGTCGCCTTCTTCAGCAGCTCGAAGACTCCCTCGGGCGTGCCTTCGATGGCCTCGAGGGTGCGTTCGAAGTTGGTCGGGTCGTTGGCCGTCAGGTAGTGGAAGAGCGCGCGCGACGGATCGGACGTCGTGGCGTTCGGCAGTTTTATGTCGGGGAATTGACGCTCGATGGTCGCGCGAGCCGTCTCCTTTCGTCGTGGCTCCCTATCTCGCGAGATCAGAATCGTCAAAAATCGGCCAAGCGATCGTTTCACCCTATACGCTTTGGTAATACTCACTTGTAGGTGTCGATGTCGAGATAGGCCGCGTGTTCGATCATGAAACGCACCATATTCTCTCTGGCCAATTGGGCCGCCATGTGCAAGGCCGTCAGACCCTTGACGTTGGGTATATTGGGAGTTGCCTGGGCCTCGATCAGCAGCTCGACGCAGCGCTCCGAGTTGGCGCGGACCGCGTAGTGCAGGGCCGTCTGTCCCGCGGGAGCCTCGAGGTTCGGCTGGATTCCCTTGGCCTTGAGCAGCACCGCCAGAGCCGAGTCGTTGCCGTTTTCGGCGGCGAAGTGAATCGGCGCTCGGTCTAGTTCTGGATTAACTAGGTTCGGATCCGCGCCGAAGTCCAGCAGAGACTCCATGAAGTCCGGCAGATTCTCTGCGGCGGTTATGTCAAGGAGTCGCTTGTTCGTCGTGTCGGGTATGAGATAATTGACATTGATCGGGGCTGGACGGGCTGCCAATCCTTTGCGGACTATCGTTGCGAAATTCGACAGATTCCTGTCCTACATGGCTTTCGAGTTTCGGGTACGGCTCCCGCGACTTCATCTCCCACGTCTCGCCGGCGCTCGATGACTTCCTTTTTTTTCGTTCTCGGTGTCCTGTGAACTTTTGATCGACCATCATTTCGACTATTTTGGGATCCACGTGATTGGGCAACGGTGAACTGCATGTCTCTGTTACGAGGATATTGGGATCCTGGCCGAACTCGAGGAATTTCTTGATGAACCTTATATATTGTTTTTTTTGTTATCTGTACACTAGCGATCTATGATATCCGAGAGGAGAATAGTTAGTTGTTCGGGCCGCAAAATTGTTTGAAGGTTAAAAAGCTTACCATTCTCATCGTTGTATACAAGAAAAATTTCTTTTTCAAATTCATGGCGCTCTTTGTCGCAATCGACATTGTCTCGAATATTGTTCAAATCCTGCAACCTCATTCTGTTATCACGATTTCCTTTGCGTAACTGCTACTAACCATGCTTTTTTAGGCCCTCACACCCAACACATATCGCTCAGTTCGTGCGTAAATATAAGCGTGTGTGTGTGTGTGTGTGTGTGTGTGTGTGTGTGTGTGTGTGTGTGTGTGTGTGTGTGTGTGTGTGTGTTTGTATGTGTTTGCGCGCCTACCTATATAGATAATAGGTATAAACGTGTTTGTGTGCGCTGCTGCTGCTGCTGCTGCTGTTTCTTACTGGCTCACTGCTCACAGCTCGACGACGGTGTATAGCATTTTCATACAACTGATCTCGGTCTTGCGAAGTGTACGCGAGCTCTGCCGCTAATACAGTTTTCGCGAGGAGAGAGAGAGAAGCTGAGTTCGTGTACTACACACATGCTGTGCTGTGCTGCTGCTGCTGTACGTGAAAGAAGTGCGTGCGTGTGCGGAAACACCCCCCGCGTATGTGAGTAGTGTGTGCCCCATCATCATCGTCGTCGTCGTCATCGTCGTCATCGTCGCCGTGTCCGCAATGGGCCGCAGCAGTCTCTTTTAGGAGCACCACGAGTCAGCCAAGCTGAACCTTCGTACTCGACTACACATTTCATAACGTCTATTTATTCGCAAAAACTGGGAATAAGAGAGGGCCAATAGTGCACGAGAGAGAGAGAGAGAGAGAGAAAGAGAGCTCTCGAGAACTATTAAGGATTGCAACTTCATTGTGTCTGTGCACGGGTGCGGGCGCGTGTGTTAGTGTGTGTCTGTGTACACTGTATACGTGCATCACCATCGATACTGTACATACAATATAAAGTTCGCAAGCGTGAGTGTATATACGAGGAACGATCCAGTTTTGACTATCATATAGCGAGGCGCTTGTATCCTGGTAACTCGGCCAATGTACATCCACTGAGGCTATACTCGCGACAGAACCTACATCATCTCTCTCTTTCCATCTCTTTCTTTCACTCCTGACACATGTGCAATTTTCGCCGTTTAATGAACTCGTGTTGAGCAACAATAATAACAAAATACAACAAGTTCGTCTAGCTTTTTTTATTCAAGTCTCGTAAGCCAAACGATCGATCCAGTGTGTTACCGTGCCGTATGTGTGTTTTATAGATAAAAATATTATCAACATATATATAAAAATCGTGCCCGTGTGTGTATTAAGTGTAAATGTGTATATAACCACCATCGACCTGGAATCGACGCCGTAGAAATACTCTACACACAACTCCAACAGCTCCTGCTTTTCACAAATGTGTGAGTAATATATATATCTGTTCTGCTCTCCCGAGTATTTTCCACGAGTCGCTTATTAAACGGAGATATATGTATACGAGTTCTTGATCGAAATGAGTCGTTAATTGAACATTTATTAAGGATATTAGCGTGTTTGGCGTGTGCAAATGCTGTTCATGCTTGGTGTGCGTGTGTGTATGTATGTACGCGCGATACAGTCATAGTGTTATATAGATCGGCGTCGTTCTTTCTCTCGCCTGCCTCTCGGCTGCATTGACTCTCCGGTTTGTTGCCCGCTTCTCAATATCTCTCTCGCTTGCTACTTTTCCACGCTTTGTATTTGTCTCTGCTGTACAACGAGAAAAAAGCCCTTCCAGACGCAATTATACATTTGACCTTCGCTATCGACTATCTGTCCCCGGAAATTAGCTCGGAATTGCGGCTCGTAAACTCGGACGAATCTATTCTATCTCTTTTTCTTTCTTCCATGGCTTTAATCGCGTATGCTATATGGCTACTAAATACGATCTACACTGTATTCTCGCGTACCCTATCTATGTGGCTGCGAATCTATCAAAGCTGACCTATCTCTGATCGAGGGGCAGCGACTCTATCGTGCTACGTTTTATCTCGCGTCTTCATACAAAAAAAACATAAAACTCGTACGCGGCGTAATCGTAGAGAAAAAATAACCCCCTCATCGATCAATTCAAAGTATGGGTGTAATGTACGCGAAACGAACGCCAGTCAAACCTAACCTCAAAGCAAATTGGCAAGACTTGAAGAATACAATGAACGACACTCGCACATACACACGATACAGCACGTAGAGTAGAGTCCAAAACCGAGAGGTTTCTCTCTTGCGCGGCATCAGCCAGAAATTCTCAATTGAAATTTTCGATGCAGGTTCTCTGCGATTATTATGAGGCACATTAGGCATGAACGATGAAGCATAATATAATGCGCGCGTGGATGACATAATGATAGTCATCCGGGCATCTCTCCACCAAGACGACGACAAAATATTTCTAAATGTATTCTCGCGCTATCTCATGCTCTTTCTCTCTGTTTCACTCTACACGCGATATTTTGACGTTAATTTTAAACCATTCTGTGTAGCGACTACAACGACGGCGACGCACAGTAGATTTTTGACTTCTACGTGTCTGCGTGAGACTGCTTCGAGTTTGCGTATTTGTGTGTGTGTCAAATGTCTGTGAGCGCGCGTGTGACTTTCTCGTCTGTTTGCGAGTATTATAACTCATCGTACGCGAGTGAAAATCAAGAACGGGCGCGGATCCACACTCCGAAACTCGCACACGAGTCGTTGTGTCTCGCATGACGTGAAAAAAAGGCGAGCAGAGCGCGAGATTATTAATGCACGTGCGGACAACGCGAACCCCCACGTGGCTTAAGGCGAGACACGCTTGCTTACGCACATACATCAACGATTTATCGTATTATCGTCTCGCACGAAAAAAAAACAACATTACGATCAATTTGGTTCAAAGTTTTCGAGTCATTTTCAGGTCAAAGTCGTATATTTTGCACAAGAGTCTTGCACACCTGCGCGTGCGAGTATTAGAGCTGCATTCGATACATAGCAAAATTTGTTCTAGACAGAATGCAAGAGAGAGAGAGAGAGAGAGAGAGNAGAGAGAGAGAGAGAGAGAGAGAGAGAGAGAGAGAGAGAGAGAGAGAGAGAGAAGTTTACCCGGCTCGCTTTGAGAGTAATTTGCCAAAAATAAACCGACACTACACACAACGCGTCGATACATTCACGGTAGATGCGCGCGGCTGAGTTTTTCTGCCAAAGTTGCACAATTCATACATACACAAACGCGCGAGAAAGCACAGATTTCATTTTTTTTTCTCTTGTTTTTTTTTCTGCGATACACGAGAGTGGGTTGAAAGAGAGTGAATATCGATCGACCGAGAAAAAACAAATTAAAGTAACAATTATACTTGCCCCGAGTGTACTAGGGTGTATAATGAAAAAATCGAGAGTCGTGTACCGAGAGAGCGTAATTTTTGCGGTAATTTTCTCCGTTATAGCTTCACAGCCATCCTACACGTAACGCGAGTCCAACGATCGTCTCGCCGTCGTAAATTTACAAAATAGCTTACATACGTTTTGCGAAAAAAATGTTGTTTACCATTTTCTAATAGCGTCGCGCGTATAGGCTATCTTCATTGCCTCTCTCTCTCTCTCTCTCTCTTTCATTCTCGTTCCTCATGTGCGCTGATTATTAAACGTTCACATACGCGCACCACCTGCTGTCATATTATAGGTGTGCATGCAAGAGCACAGCGAGAGAGAGAGAGAAAAAAAAACCAGCAGAAAGACACTACACACCGCTGTATGGATGGATCGGTGAACCGGTGAAAACTTACAAGTTCACCCTCTTCCTTTATTTTATTTTATATATATTTTTTTGTTCGCGCTCGATGATCGTGCACCATTTTTACGATGTGAAACTTTTTTATTATCGGTCCCCTTGTCAATAATATACAGCGCACGTATCCAACGCGGACACAAAGAGCACAGCTCGCGTGATTAAATTCTTTTTTTCTCTTTCGGCTCGTGCCTCGAAACGATGACATTGTGGTTTATTAATGCATAGGAACAATTATTGAAACGAGCGATCGCGTCGTTAAAGCGCGATGGTGCGACATTATTACTTCGCGCGCTCGCGCCGCACACAATATGTCTCATTTGTTTTTTTTTTTTTTATTTCTCTCTCTCTCTCTTTTATCCTCTCTAAATTGCAACGACCTTCCGAGACATTTTAACCCAATTCCGCGATACATTTCGCGTGCACGCATGCACGTCGAATTGAAATAGTTTTGCGAGTCAAACTTGTCTGTGAGAGAGATATACTAGGGATTCGCGTAAACGTTTTTCTTTTCTTTCCCTGCCTTTTTTCATTGAAAAATTTTACCGATACATAGATCTATTTTGTAGATGGTATACTTAAGTACAGTGACCCATACGAGCCTATACAAAGTGAGAACGCGCTTGGTCCAATGTACGCAAGTAACCAGCAGATTTACATGTATGTAAAAGTCAGACACAACTAGGTCTTACATAGAGAAACTGCGACCCAAGAAAGAAAGAGAGAGAGAGAGCCTATAATAATACAAGCTATATGGAAGTTAGCTGTGCTGCTACCTGAGCATGCAAAGAGCAGGCAAACTCGGCAAAGAGTAGTGAGGTCAGCGAGTCTCAAATCGATCGATATTTTACCCCGTTTGGCGCTCTCCTATATGCCATACGCGTTATATATTGCGCCTATATCGCGCACAAATGTATGTTTACACTTTTTATTTGCGCCTGTATACATGTGTATAAAATTTAATCGCGCGCACACGTATATTGTGTGCGACCTCTCCACGCCCAATTGTTCCATTATTTTTTTTTCCATTGTCGTTGTACATCGGGAAATCGACGTCGACAGAGGGTAGCGATATAGTCGATACGAGAGGATGATAACGGTCGCGCATTGTCGCTAATTTTGAATTATATTCGTTCGAGACCCGTGGCACGTACGTATACGACTGCAAAATAAAGCTCTGCGCAGAATTGTTATTAACTTTGACGATCAGAACCGGAAGCGATTATTTACCAAAGTGCGTGGGTAAAAGAGAGAGAGAGAGAGAGAGAGAGAGAGAGAATGGACGCATATAACAAATCGAGTTCTCTCTCTCTCAATGTTTATATATTTTATATTGTTATGCAAACCATGCGCTCAAGCGCGTCAACGCGAGAAAATAGAACATAATGCATATATACTTGCTCGACGAGGAAAATGGAATATTTTGAAAAGGCAGAAAAAAAAACTGATTTTTTCCGAACGGCTCTTCGAGGCGACGTATTTAGCGAGTTTTATTTAAAATACGTTAAC